TTTTTTTTTTTTGTGTGAAAGTTTTCATGTTTTTGAGAATTTTAGGGTGTGTCCGAGAGAAAGTAGAAGGGGATGAAGCTGGGTTCTTTATAGAGTCTGATCTGTGTCGGTATGGGTGTCTTAAGGGCTGTAGGGAGTGGTTGTATGAACGATCATAGAAGTGGCTGTTTGGTCTGGTGGCTGTCCGATCTGGTCACATGGGTCAATGGTCTAATGGGACTAGTTATGGTGGCTGGATCAGATGGGGTCAAGCAGGGGGCTAGATAGGAGCAACAATGGCACTGTACCAACCCTATGTTTTTTGTCTTCTTTTTTTTTTAATGATTTTGGTTTTTAATTTTTAATTAAATCAATATTATTATTAATATCATTATTAATGTTATTATTATTAATATTAAACTAAAACTGAATATGATAAATTCAGACAAAATTCGATGTCTACAATTAATAAAATCTCAAAAAAGCATATGCATGTCATATACTAATATAAGATAGTGGCAAGTTATTAAATTAATGAGATAATTTATAAAACAACACTTAAGTCAAAATTTTCATTTTTCTCATCCATACTTCAAAGTAAATATCATCGTCTAGTTTCAATCAGGTATATATATTTATAAATATATATATATATATATATATATCAAAAGATCCACATGGTTTTGGACTTGGATAATTGCATGCAGGAAAAGCAAAAGAAAAATTCAGATGACAAATTGATTGGTAAAGATAATATAAAATTAAGACATGAATACTTATTATACAATGAATACCGGGTGATTCATTGTACCACTTGGAGTTTGCTTTCATAATCATCATTTCTTCGAAAAATGAGATCTTAAACCACGTGGATATTTGTATGATGCAAAGCAATGTCATAAAGGAAAATTGCATCTATTCCTTTTCATTTGTTCATCCTTTTCTCAGGTTCAAAGAGTTCCTTGCTTATCAAACTTAGGGAATTCTCTTACTCAAAGGAATAAATAAGTTGAGAATCATTCCCCATCCACTATTGCTTTTTCATTATGCTTTTATGAATGAGATGGCTTGATTCTTACATTGGGATTTAGACTTCAGCAAGGAAAAAGTTGATACATTGTTGCTGGATGGTAATGTAATCAAAATTATACCAAGGAATTATAGTAAAAGTAAAAAAAAAAAAAGATTTTGTCACCTTTTTCTTGAGAACTTTAATTAAAGATATTCACTTTAGATTTGAATGGACAATAGGGATGATAGTAACCACAGGAACACAACAGGCAAAAGGGTTTGTTAGAATTTAGTATCCTTCAAAAAGTGGAAAGAAAATTTAAGAGAAAATCTTGAAAAGGAATTGAAAAGAAAGGTAAAATGGAACCATATTTTCTTTCTATCTAGACTGCATTATTCTACCACAGCAATGGTGTTGAACAGGAGTATGCTTAATCTTTTAATTTATTATATATCTCTTGATAATATTGGACATTGTAATTGACTTTTAATAGTTTGGAGCATATCAGAAAAAAAAAAAAAGAAAAAAGATATGACATTATTCAGAATTAGACCAACCTACCCTGTGCACTATTATAATTAAACCCTAAACTCTAAAACAATAGACAATGAATTAAACTAGCTGTGGAGATGCCCTATAGAGGGTATTTCCATGCCCTATAGAGGGTATTTGGCGGAAAGAATTTGCTAAATATCTGATCCGTGATTCTTCCGGATAAAGGGCTTGTAGTTTTTAAATTTTCTTGTAAACTTTCCGCAGCAACATCTTACTAGCTATATTGTTGTGCTCTTATGATCAGCTATATACCTCTGGACCAGGATAAAATTGACTGATTGCCCCTAGCAGAATTGAGCAAATGTTGAGTTGAATGAAATAAATATTGTCTGATAATTTTAGGTCCCCAAATCTTGAGAATCTTCCAGTCTTATCTTAGTACAATCATTCAGATATTCACCATATATAATTGGGTTAAAAAGGACGGGTTATGAATTTTCGTTGTAAGCATTATGAATTTAAATGTTTTTCAAACCTATTACCTAATTAGACACACATATTCAATAAATATAAATATGAAGGCCCATTAATCCTTCAAATTAATATATGAAAAAGCTTAAAAAAATTGCAAGTGCTCATGTCAGACACGTGTCGATATCCAACAATCATTTCAAGCACGAGTAATTAGAATATTTAAACTCAAATCATTTAAAAGCTAAGGATGTACTTAAGCATGGCATTAAGAGAGGGTGGATTGGGGTGTAGAATTCCAAAATCTTTACCTGTGTTTGCATTGGATTGGATAAATTATCATTTCCTTTTCTTTGCACACCTTACCAGAATAGGTAATATACCACCTTGCCTTCCCTTAGTTTCCTGCCTCTTTTAAAGCTGTCCAAACAAGGGAAACTACACCTTTTCCTTCCCCTTGTTTCCTTTCTCACCCTCCCTTTCCTATCCTTCCCTTCCCTTCCCTCAAGCTTCTCAACTATAGGTAAGATGATCATAGAGATAGAGTGATTTATGAGTTAAGATTGTAAATCTCTCACGATTAAATATATCATGACCATAAGTTTCCATATTTTTGGGTGTGAACGAAGGAGAGAAAAAACAACTGAGTCACATCAATTCAGATGGAGAGCTTTATTTCTTTGCATAAAATAATTTAGACAAAGAAAAGGACATGGTACCCCTTACATTGTCTATATTTGGGACATGAAATCGATTATATGGACAAAAAATTCAAAGGGCAAACTGTATTTCATGTCTCACATTAATCAAGGATGTGACAACTATTCATTCCTTGTTTAGAAATGTGGTAATCTTTTGATTGCAACCAAATTTTCTTTTGCTTCTTCGACTATCTGTTGTCACACTCCTGGTATATCCCAGCTGTGCCAAAAGACTAAAGAATCATCAAAATATATACAAGATTGATAATTTTCCCATAATTGGAGTGCTTTGGTGCTCTTGGAAACTTATGCATCATCATGTTTCAAATTTAAGGAGCAATATATTTATTCCTGGAAAAAGGAAGTAGACAAATCAGCTACAATTTTAATGCTAGGGTAAGGTTCCGGTCTCTTCACCTTCCTACACTTGTACTAATTATGCTACATATATAATAAGCACCTTTCATTTAAACATAACCACAAATTTTATAATAGAAAAATGTATAAAAGAGAAAAGTTATGAATATCATGATATAGTGATATGATCACACTCATATAACATAGTTTTTTCTATTTCCTCCAATAATTGGTGAAAACCTAAAGAATATAGATATATATATATATATATAATATTTGCATAAAATTGCTAAGAGAAACATAAAAGAAAGGAAGCTAAATCATGCCCATTTTAAAATGTTGAAGCCTTTTTAATATCTTGTGGTTTGTTGCACAATTAAAGGTGATTATCTCCCCTCCTCAATTTACACACCTATTATATATCTTATGTTTAGACTAAAAGTAAGAGATTTTTTACTTTCTTCAAGAGAAGATATTATCGATAAATTATACGATCAATTATAGAGAAATTATTTTATTTATTGTTAATAAAATTTTTAGACTTTACAAGTAAAATTAATAATATAATACATATTTTTTAGAGTATATTAAAAAAAGTTTTAAAAATTAATTAAAAAATTAAAATATGTGCTATTTTTTTAGTCTCGTTTGTGGAGTTAAAAATTTTGATAATATATCAAAAACAAATCTTCAATTATAGCCATTATGACTATTTAAATACCCTATTTTTTCTTCCCTTTATACAAACCCTTTAATATTATAACAAAATAGTAACAATCAAAATTAGAATTTTTATGCTCTCAAACCCTAAAGGGTGGTTTCTCCTAAGTCTTGTATGTATGGTATAAGAAGAGGCTGGTTTTCGAAACCCTCAATTTTGACTTGTTTGTTAAAATTTATTGAAATATTTATCTGTAAAAGACTAAAAGTTGCTTAATTAGATTTTTTTTTTATATAAATATATCATATTTTCTCAATCAAACGAAAAATATTCAAAAGACGGAAAGATTAATAAAATTTGGACCTATCACAAAATGATATATACTAGGATGCAAGTCTTGGATATTTATTGAGATTTTGTGTAGTGAGCTGAAATTGAGATTCACAAATCCAATAAACATATTCTACATTATGCACTAAAATGAGATTAAAAAAAAAGTCAAAGAATGATTGGAAGATTGTCGATGTGATCTTTGATATGTCTATTTTATTATTATTATTATTATTATTATTATTATTATTGTCATGATTTTCACCATCATATAGTCATAATCACTTGATGAAATTGCACATGATCATAAAGAAACAAAGCAATAATTGTAACCATATAATCTTATCTACTAATTTATGAGCAAAAGGACATTACAAAGAATATACATATCCATCTTGTGGGTTTTGTAAAAATGCTCATGGAGAGAATGTGACATACTATGATTCATCATCCCATCTCTAATAAATACAAATAAAATTTGCCACATCAGACTATCCACTCCTTATATATGGAGAGTAAGATTAAACCAAATAAAACAAAGCCAACACAAACACATAGAGAAGTTTACCTATACTTCACTACTACTCTCTCCTTACTACAGTACTACTTCATCAGTTCAGTAGTATTGTTTAGTAATCTTTTCTTTCTTTTCAAATATCCCACTGAAAATAGCTGCTGTGAGTTCACTGATGTCAAGGGCGGTAGTGGCTGCTGCGGCAGAGGGGGAGGAGAATTTAGTGGTGGTTAGAGAGTATGATGAAGAGAAAGACAAGGAGGGTGTGGAGGAGATGGAGAGGCGTTGTGAAATTGGGGAAGGAGGAAAGCCTTCACTCGTGGCTGACCTTCTAGGGGACCCCATTTGTAGAGTCCGCCACTTCCCATCTCACATCATGCTGGTACATACAATTTAATGAACCTAAGTCTGTAACTCACCAATAACCCCAACATCACTCTCTTGTTTTTTTCTGAAAAAAAAAATCTTGTTGATCATCAATACATGGTATTGAAATGATTATTTCTGATTTTTGTTTGAATTTGTTGTTATATATTGTATGGTGTGAACAGGTAGCAGAATATGGAGAGAAAAGAGAGATTGTAGGAGTTATAAGAGGGTGTATAAAAACTGTGACAAGAGGGAATTTAATGTATGCAAAGGTAGCTTATATTCTGGGATTAAGGGTCTCTCCTTCCCACAGGTATTTTCTTCATAACTCTCTCTTTCACTCATTTCTTTCATATATTCAACACATTCTACAGTTACTACTGCAATTAGCCAATCAAATGTAAACATAAACATGGTATTCACAAGTTACAGTCTCATCTCCTTTTTCTTGAATACATGAAATTTCAGGATCATTGATTAAAAAAAAAAAAAAAAACTCAGTTACCTGACAAGAAACAGAGGAGAAACTGTTTTTCTTTTGCTTTTTTACTTCATTTGCTCCTAGAATTCTGAAACAGTTTTTCTTGCTTTTTTTTCTAGCCCCAGTTGGCTAGCTCTTTTTCATTCCCAACCTATTTTCCTCTCTCTTTATTTACTGTGAACTAATGCATTTTCATGTTTGTGCTTTGGGTTGGGGGTTCTAAATTCTAATCCCAATTCCCCACTCCACATAAACAAATAAAACGATGATCAGATTCCATCATAAAGAAAACACATTATTCCTTGTATCATGGAAAGGATCGAGTGCCACCTACCCTGGCACTGACACTTGTATTCACTCCACTTCATTTATTAGAATAAGGAAAAATTCTACAAATGATATTGATATCTCATTCTATTCTTTGTTTGTTTGTACTTGCTTTTTTACTTTTATATATTTGCTTCTTCCTTTACAATGCTCCACTGCATTCTTCTGATGCGGCCTTTCTTATGTCATTTTGGTTTTTATAAAATTATTATTCAATTTGCTTTTACAAAATATATGTTAATTGAATATGAGATTCAGTTTAATTGATTCAAGAAACTGTATTTAAAAAGTGATATTAATATGCTTAAAATTTAAATTTTAACAATTATAATTCTTTCTTCAGCCTCGTATGCGATCATGTTTATACAAAATTTATTACCAACAGTAATTAATTCGACGTGAAAGCTCTTTTTTTTTTTTATCCCCATATGTTAATTATTGTTTGAGCTTTCAATTATTATATGATTATGGTGCCATGAAGCCTCCCTTGGGAGACTGCAGTCTCAAATTTTGTTCTCTTTTTCATTTTTATATGGGTTAATGCTTCTAATGATTGTCTTTTGGAATGTTACTTTTAGATTGAATATATCATGCTATATATAAAAATCAATTTATAAAGCACTCCACATTTTGTCATAAGATTTTGATTAATTTAATTAGGACACTAAGCTACTATGCCTTGAGCAATATTGTGCACATTTTGTTATTTGATCAAGTATTTGTTAATTTATATATGGTTCTAATCATTTTTGCTATTTGTAATTGCAGGAGGCTAGGCATTGGCAAAAAATTGGTTCAGAAATTAGAACAATGGTGCAAACAGAATGGAGCAGAATATGCATACATGGCCACGGATTGCACCAATGAAGCATCCATCCATTTATTCACAAGAAAATGTGCATACACGAAATTCCGAACCCCAACAATGCTGGTGCAGCCAGTTCATGCTCACTACAAGCCATTAGGCTCAGGCATCGCCATTGTCCGACTCAATCCAAGGCTAGCTGAGACCATTTACCGTCGCGTTTTCGCAAACTCAGAATTCTTCCCTAAAGATATAGACAACATTTTGTGCAACAGGCTGAATTTGGGCACGTTCATGGCCTTACCGAGGAAGTGTCTCCCCAAATGGGATCCCAAAACAGGGATTCTTCCACCAAGTTTCGCAATTACGAGTGTTTGGAGCACCAAGCAATTGTTCAGGTTGCAAGTGAAGGGGGTTTCAATGTTGACGTACGCTTGTTGCATGGCTTCCAGGGTGCTTGATGCCTGGATGCCATGGCTAATGTTGCCCTCAATCCCTGATGTTTTCAGGCAGTTTTGGGTTTATTTCTTGTACGGATTACACATGGAAGGTAAGAATGGATCGCGGCTCATGAAATCTCTATGTGCCTTCGCCCATAACATGGGTACAGATGATGAAGGGTGTGGGGCAGTGCTGGCTGAGGTGGGCCAGAGGGACCCCGTTCGAGAGGCCATTCCACATTGGAGGAAATTTTCTATGTCCGAGGATTTATGGTGCATGAAAAAGTTTGCGGATGATGCTAATGAAGGGTCCAATGAAAGATGTGGACCGTCCGATTGGTTGAAATCTCGACCTTCTTTATTGTCGATTTTTGTAGACCCACGTGATATTTGACAAATTTTTATATGATGATGACATTTTGCCCCAATTGAATTGAATTAAAAGCATTAAAATTAAAATGGAAAGGAAAAAAAAATACTGCAAAATCTTTATATATATATATATATATAATTAAACTAAAAATTAAGTTTATTGAAAAAATCCATCTCCAGCCATCTGTCAAATTTTGAGTTCCAGGACCAGTACCCTGCTTGCCTAACACCTGTCCCACATCAAGATATATCGACTTAGTGACACGTGCAAGCATTTAACCCCCAAACGAATCAGTCTTTCGACTCAGCTCTATTGGATCATCATTTGTTGCTCAATCTCTCTTGATGAACTTATAGCTGAAACTTCAAAAATTATATTTATTTCTATCACAGAAATGTTCAAGGATTGAGGAACCAATGAGCTAACAAGTTCTGTTAGTTCCTGTAATGTTTCAACCGATAATTTTTGCTGTTCCTGCCTAGTATGATCAATATATATTATTCGTTTATGAGAAGCCATTTCCTTTCTGTTTCATTAAAACTTGTTCCCAACAAGGAAACAATTGGAGCTGCATATGAGAGGGTTAATCCTACCTGTAGAATAACATCAGACCCAGATTATCCATTTGATTCCAATTTCAAGGAAATATCACAGAGATTCAACCATTTCCTTTTATTCCTAAAATGAGAAGCCTGTAAGTTCACAAGTCCAACAAATGCAGGAATGTACCAGCCCTGGGGTGCCAAAACTAATTGATAAACCCAGAAGAAGCTTGATTGGAGAAGCTGACGTTGGCAATATTGTCTAACTGTTCTTGCAACAAATTGTTGACATCAGATTCAGCTTCGAATGGTTGAGCTTGGGTATGTTGGGCCTGAGATTTCAGAACTGCAATCTCAGCCTGGGTCTTAGCTAGCTCGCTCTCTGCACTGTGTATTTGTTGCTGCAGCAGAAATATGAGCCCAACGCAGCCATAGACAGGGTCTTCAACCCGACATTGTGCCTCGAAGTATAAGGAATCTGCTGCTTTAGCTCGCAAATGGGTTGGGAGTTGCTGGATAAATAATTAGAGGAAAATAAATTAACCATGTTTGTCACTGACTGTCAAAAGTATAGTTGGTTCAAAAACAAGTACATTCTGAAAGTTGATTCAACAACTATATTCTATGCATCAAAAAATTATCTCCTATTGATGGTCCTATGGCACTTGATATCTAAAATCTTAATGAAAAATCAATGTCACAAAATATTAAGCAACATCTCCATGAAACAGAGTCAATATTTTTTTCTATTACAATCTTTTATTACCAAGAAATCTTTTATTGTCTTGAAAACTGTTACTAAGATATTTTTAATACTACAAAGGGTCTTCTTGCAAAAGAAACTTGTGAGTTATTTAATATCCACTGAACAATGTATTAAAAGACATATCTAAAACCAAAATCAGAATATATATATATATAATATCAAGAGTTTTTAGTTATATGCAGGGTACCTGAAGTAGTTTTGTGACATTGCTGGCACCATGGATTTTGTGAACAGAAACAAATCTTTGGGGATCATTGTATGGAAAATAAGGTGAGAGAATGCAATCTTCAGCACATCTTCTCCTCAAATATCTACAAGCAGCACAACGACCAGGATTCATGGCTCAAAAATCTATTCAAACCCAAAAAAGATTTTCTCAATCTCTCTTGTTCTTGTTCTTGGAAAATAAATCTGTTGAAGATTATAGTTACTATATGGGAGAATTTAGTAGGGTTAAGAAATTGGATTAGCAATGGAGAAACGGCTAGTTTTTTCAAATTTTGGGATTTGAAAGGGAAAGTTTCTAATGTTTAGAGGATTGCCATATTTGAAGAACTTGGAGAGAAGCAAGTATGGCAACCTTTTTATTGTCCTTCATTTCATATATATCCAATTCAAAATAAAGCCCACAAAAAAAATAATTTTGGAGAAAATTTAGTGCTGTTTATTGTGGATAATTCAGCAGAAAGCTTAGGAGCTTTCCAACGGTTCTTAAATTAACCGGAAAACCGGTGGGGAAAAGTCCAAAAGAAAAACCAACCCATGTTAGACAGTTTACTGCTGGCTGGTTTCGAATTTGTTGTGATGTTGCAGAAAGTTGACTTCCATGAATTTGTTAGATGCGACTATATATAAGTGTATTCAACAGATAAAATCATACTGAAGCTTAAAATCTCTTATAACTCCAAAAAAAAAACCCAAAGAAAAGTGAGTTATATATATAACTCATATCCAAGTATTTATGTGTATAAATATATATAAAAAAAAAAAACTTAAATATTAAAAGACACGAAAGGGGTGGATCCTTTTGCAAACAGAATTTTTTGTTGGGCACCAGTTGAGACAAGGATCCATCCTCTTGTAACAGGGATAAATTTCTAACCAAAGGAATAATGAACTTTTAGTGACGGATAATATACCTTCATCAATAAAATTTTCGTTTGTAAAACTCACCGAAATGATTTCACGTTCTTTATCACGACAATTTCGGTCCATAAAAGTATTAGTGACGCAATAGCTTTTGAGGCAACAATTTTTAACAATGAAAATTTCGTTACTATATGATGTCAATTTTTGCTGTGACAAAATTATGCTACAAAATAAAAAACTCTATTGGAGGAATTTGGTATTACTGACGGAATATTTTTAGTATCTTAAACTTTTGATGTAAAAATTTAGTGGAAAAAGCAATCAATAAAAATTTTTACCAACAGAATTGAGACTTTTACCAACAAAAAATTCTGTAAATAAAAACCTTCTTATAGAGTTGGTTCACCTTCAAAATTCAAAGCATAGCCAGTCTAGAATGTCCAACAAGCTAAGCTAAATTTTATGTTCAATTTATCAACGAAGTTATTTACCTCAACTACTTTAGGGAAATTCATTCCCTCTGTTGCACCCCTCATTGAAGCTGTTAAGAATAATTTTTCTGTAATATGAAGAAGACATTGCTCTTTGTTGGAATTAAGCACCAAATCTACTATCCCATAGAGAAATGACTTGGGTTTTTATAAATGGGAAACCTACACTGGAGCAGTCGATATTCGAACAAGCTTTCTATTGGTTTAAGAGTTCTCAGACACAAATTTCATTCCTTACTACATCCCATCGTACAGCTTTGTTCAGATTTGAAGGGGTATGGATATTATGTTCTTCCCACTTAATACAGTAATTACTTAATGGAGAGCGAGTCTATTCCAGCACGATGGTATTTCTTATATCCATGAGATCTTATTCCAAAGATTTTACATTTGTTATATATATATATATATATAAAATCAGAAAATGATTATAAATATTAAAATTTAAACTTCAAAACTACTAAATACTATCTTATCTTAAAAATGATTATATGAATAAATTAAACTCTCAATTCAGATTGTTTATTATACGAACAAACTAAACTAACCTAGAATTGTTTAGTACTACGAAATTTCTACCTTCGAATTGTTTAGCAGGAACAAGGAGTGTTAATGAAGTCCAACTTTTTCCCTTTTTTAGGAATGCTTCCACTTTTAATGAAAAACTTTCAGTTGATGATGAATTGTTAATAATTACAGTTGGATCACATTTTCGGCTCAACTAGTTCTATTCACTCTCCTATGTCATGATATAGATTGAGGAACTAATCAGCTAACAAGTTCTGCTAGTTGCTGTCAAGTTTCAACTGATAATTTTGTCTGTTCCTGGCTAGTATGATAAGGATCTTTTACTTGGTTATTATGCGTACAACAAAATGTTAAGAGTGCTTAATTCTTAGTTTCAGTGATCATGGTTTTATCCTAACAGCTTTAAATACCCCCCAAAAAATATGATATATCATGATAGACTATACTTGCAGTGAGTTAGAAGATTTGCTATATCTATTACATTGTAGAAGCTTTAGCAAAGCTTGAAAATATGGAGGAGTCATCTTGTAGAAGAGCACCTGGGTTACCTTGCTCAACCTGTACAAGGACAAAAAGCTCTTCAATCATGTGAAACTTGAAATGGTTGTCCTAGATTTTTGGACCAGTAAATATCAAAATACATTAAATCTGATTTTGAATAGAAGCATGCAAGGATTAACTTCTTATGGATGCTTAAAATTTTAAATCTTACAACAAAAAGCAAAACAAGGCAATATCAAAATGCTAAACAACAGTGCAATAAGAAGTAAATTTGTAGCAGTGATGAACTGCAAGGGAGGATAGCTTATTTTATCCAACCAGCATCACTTCGGGTGACCAGATTTCTAACTTCACTTTTTAGAGATCACACTTCACACTACTCAAATGAAAAGGTATAAAAGAAAGGTCCTTCACTCCACTTCAAGAGGTCAAATTGAAGAATCAGAAAGCATCTGATAGTGATTTGTATTGTTTAAAGCTGGATATCATCACTCAGGGGATAAGAGAAGAAGAGGGGGGGGGGGGTTTAAATATGAAACAGTTAACAAAATACAGAAATAAAAAACGCACCAGGGTTCCTTGATTCAGAACAAATACATTGTCCACATTCAAAACTGTTGAAATACGATGCGCGATTGTGATCACCGTCATTCCTCTGCATTCAGTAGATATAGTTTTCTGTAGAATTGAAGCTGTCTGAGTATCAACATTTGCTGTGCATTCATCCAAACAAAGAACCTAAAAAATTCAATATTGTTAGTACCTTCCCTCCTCTGCCAAACAAGATTTAATTTGAACTTGCTTCAATTAAAGAATAAAAGTAATGATATTATTTTCAAAAAGATAATAATAGTTTTTTGAAAATAATAGTGATAATATAATGATAGTATATTGAATTCATCCAAGTTAGGGTCAAAAGCATGTGTTCAACCTGATATAGGTTTCTATATGATTCGGTTGCTACCAAGACCTAACTTGAATTGGTTAAGCTGTGTTTTTAGAAACACTAATCTCAATTACACTTTGCAGACCCATATTATGGTTCCATTATATTGTACACCACAAAGTTTTGATTGAAACAAATCCATTCTTTCACCTAGTGTAATCTTATTCAATCTGACTGGTAATTTAAGCCAGGTTGAAGAGGTTTATAAATATGTACAGCAATATGTACAGATGTAGCCTTCTTTTTCTTTCTTTTTTTTTTTTTTTTAAATTATAAAGGTAAATAGCATTTCAGTAAATTAAGCTCTATCTTCTCTAAATCTGTGGGGGAAAAAAAACCAAGCCAGCAATTAGCCAACCTAAACTCGCTTCCCACACTTATGCAGAGCACCATAACGTTATGCTTGTGCATACTATTTTACATTTGAATTTAATTTCACAACTTTTGAAACAAAACTTTAAAAATAGAAAATTAGATAAAGTATTAATTTATCTACTAAGTGTTATCATCTCTTTATTAAATTTACATCCCCCAAAACAAAGGAATGTAAACTTTTTTTTTTTTTGCCATTAAGGAATGTTAAACTGTTGAAAATTGAATTTTCCAAGCAAAAGAATTTAGGTAGTGTTTGGTTTCAGAAAATAGAGCCATTTTCTGTTTTCATTTTCTTACAAAATGAAAAACATGAGTTAGTCTCTCAAAACAAAAACATTTTGAGACCAAGCAACTAAAACTGTAATAAAAACCTAGTTCTGGTCAGCAACCAGTTTTGGTCACTCTAATACTAACACTTAACTAAACTTGGATCATGTAATTTTATCCAGTATAAAAGCCTTTTCTTTTGATTTACCTTAGAAGACTTGAGAAGAGCACGTGCAAGGCAAAGGAGCTGCCTTTGCCCAACAGAAAATGATGTCCCAGATGCCTTTACATGAGCATCCAGTCCTCCGGCCGCTTCTACTTCCTCCTTGACATGACATTTCTCCAAAACATCCCACATTTTCATGTCATTACTCATCTGGAGTGGATCCAGGTTGTCCCTGGAAATAATTAGGAAGACAACAACAGAACACTAATAAAATTGTTCAGAGTAAAAGTTAAGTACAAATTGATTATTATTTTATTATGGTGTACCGAGACAGCCAGAGAGAGAAATGATAGCAAAAGGATAACATCAAATGACCTTCTAACCTTTTATATGAGTTAAGATGTGCAGATCAACTAATATTTATCAAATAAATATTACTATTGATTATCACAAACCAGAAAATCCTGAGAATATGATGATAAACTGTGCCTTGAAATTATCATCATATATGTGGGACAAGCAATCAACAAAATTTAGATTGTAGATGAGTACCGTAATGATCCTTCAAATAAAAATGGACTCTGGGGAACAACAGCCAAGCATGCACGGAGATCTCTGACAGGAATATCAACTATGTTCAGGCCATCCACCAAAATATGTCCTCTACATATAGGGGTCAGGCGAAAAAGGGCATTCAAAACACTAGATTTTCCAGCACCAGTTCTTCCAACAATTCCAACCTGATAAAATTTTAAATTAAATAAAAAAACAAACATTGGGAAAGTTTACTGAAGACTTCTAGTCCTAGAATAATTAAGTTGCAACTAAAAAACTACAAATAGCTTTAACCTGTGTCCCTCCTGCTATGGTAAAGGAGATATCATTCAATGCCGCTGGTAAAGATGGCATATATTTCATGGTAACATTCTGAAACTCAATCACTCCTTGAAATGGCCAGCTCGAATTTAAAGACTGGAATCCATGGAGTTCTTCTTGAGGCACATCCATGTACTAGAAAGAATAAAATCAGTATATAACCAGTAAGAAAGAATAGATATGAATGAAAAAATAAAATTATCTCTACACCTGAAGAGCTCTCTCCACTGAAACCATTTCCTTTTCTGTTTCAGTAAAACTTGACAAGAAGCTTCCCAACAAGGAAACAATTGGAGCTGCATATGAAAGGGCTAATCCTACCTGTAGAAGAACATTGAACCCAGATTATCCATTTGATTCCTAAATATAGGAAAATATTACAGAGCTTCAACCATTTCCTTTTATTCCTAAAGTGAGAAGCCTGTAAGTTCAACTTTGAAGAAATTCAAGAGTATACCAGGCCTGGGGTGCCAAAACTAATTGGTAAACTTCCACGAGCTCCAATAACAGCCATCACAGCAACAAATGAGATTATAGATGCTGCTATTAACTGTAGAAATAACTTCAAAGTATAACTTTCACGAGATGCATAAAGTTTCAGCATATCTAGCTAACTTTCGAACCAGATGCAAGGTATACCTGAAGACGCAGGGAAAGCCACAAACTTGCTGTTAACTCTGAATATGAAGTTCTCTGATACTGTGCTACAAGCTCAGTGAATCTAGCCAAGAAATAGTCCTGTTCACATCGAGTCATAACTGTCAATAAGGTTTTTTCCCCTCAAATTATTTATGCTTGTCAGTAACATCTATTCATCCTCTTTACCCAAACTATAAGTGCAGTCAAGGTTCAATCTCTCAAAAATAAAGGGAAGCCTGATGGTCTAACAAGAGGACAGAAAAGTTCAAGGTGTTGACATCTTAAAACTAAAAGAAATAAACCTATTTCAAGATAACAAATTAAGAGTACAAGAAAAATTACAGCATGTTTGGTAAGTGAGGCTAGAATGAATGTCAAACTGTGTAAGGTACTCTGCCCTAGGACATGCGCTCATAATATCAGTCGTTCTATGCTGATGCCATGCGTGAATAGCACAGCAATTATAAGCCCTCTAGCTTCTTTTTAAACAAACTATAGAGCTTACAGTTTATCTCTCACAATTTCAACATGGAAAACCCAACACAACGTACATCCATGTAAAGGGTCGAATGGCTCAGCCCTCAGTGTTCGTTTTTAAGACAGCCACTGCTTTTAATTGTGATTTTTCTTAAAAATATTTGACGTTCTAGGAATAAAATGATTTGGAAATGGATATAACTCTTACAAAAGGCAAGAATCACAATATTTGTTCTTGCAAGTTATGGCCTCACAACTCTAGGTAAATAAACAGCAGAATTGACAACTGTCATATCATATGTAACATCTATTGATAAGGTTGAACTCCTTTTTATAGGAAAGAAAGAACAGCTAATACTATCTCTGCAATAATCACCCAAAAACAAATTCAAAACCTTCTGATGCACTTAAAAGGTTATACTGACTCTCATATTCTTTACACTGGTTTTGTTTTTCTTCTTTGACCTGTGTACTTATGACAGCTAAAGGAACTAATATACAGTGATTGTTAAAATCCAAATATATACCTCAGAGTTGAAAGCTCGTATAGTTGATGATCCATCAAGTGTCTCCGTAAAGGATGCATAAATTGGGGAGCGTGAGACACTGTCCAATCTTCGCAATTCCCTAGATGTTGACCTGTAGAAGAACTACAGAATTTTTGACTGAGTAAAAAGTACCTAAATAAATAAATTCTGCAAACTTAAAATGAGCTTCATTGTTAATCAGGAGGATCCACTGAACTCTACCCCATTTCAAAGGTTTTTTTTTTTTTTTGGTTTATTTTCTTTAAAAATCTTGTATCAATCATAATAGAATTGAGTTCTGGAACTATGAGTTTCACATCTACCTTAAGACAAAATTGTCCAATAATTTCTATATCTTCAGCTCCGTTTCTTTGGGTTTTAGCCATTTTGTTTCTTGATATTTGAAATTTTCATTTATTTCCCACTATTCTCAATTTAAACAAGTTTGCATTTATGCACATATTCAGATATAAAGATACACATCCTTAAGTTCTGTAAGAATGAATAAATGCTAAATGTGCTTTAAAGAATGGACATTACAAAGTCAGGCAAATACCTGTAGCTTGTTGTAGATGTACCAAAATGGCAATAGTAGAAGCAAGAAAAGGACCTACAAATTTTAAGTTAATCGTTGCCATCAAAAGTTCATTGCTTGGGTTATTTAATATATTAAAATGTCCGAAGATAATAGAATCAAAGTAATGAATGTCCAAAAATACCTGAACATATGACAAAACTACTACTATTCCTAACAGGCCCACAAAATTAGCCAGGAGAATGTTGAGGATGAATGGGAGAGAATCATCAATAGTATAGAGATCTGATGAAAACCTACATGGTAAAACAAACAAGTTTTATACGTCCTTATACATCATAAACTTACATGATCTCCAATAAGGCATCTCAGTCTAACCTGTTAAGTATGCGTCCACCAGGTGTTTGATCAAAGAAGTGGACAGGTGCATTAATAAGCTTATTAAGCAGTTTATTGTGCACCTGAACTGCAGCTTGTAGGCCACCAAATGCAAACGAGAATGCCCTCACCATGGTCAGAGAAGAATTAATGATGCAAAAGATGCAAAGTACCAGCTGCACCACCCTTTAATAAGTCAATCAGAAAACAAAAAAAAAAAAAAAAACCTACAAATGACAGGTTTCTTTCTCTCTATGCCTCGTCACCCCCCCTCTCCCTTCTTTTCTTACTGTTGTGTATTCTCCCTAACCCTGAACTACCATAGTTAAGGGTTGAATAGCATAGCTACATTTGAAAGGTGCATATACCATCAAATATGAACTGAATTGGGAAGTTTAGACCCTCGGGTGGAAAGGTAACAATACAATCATATAGAATTCTTAGAATGAAAAATCAATAGTAGTCAAACAAGAGGGATTCTGAAGCAGTTAGATCTAAGGACAAGAGTTTCATCCAAATATCAAATCATGAATAAATGTTGGAGACAATGTGTTGCTCATGTTTAGGTTGTTGGCTTTCCAAGTCAACTCAAGTTGGTTTAGGTTGAGTTTCAAGAAATTTAAGTCAGGTTGCTGAAGTTCAGCTCAGCATGTGCCACTTTTACTCTACTAACGGTGGAAATTAGTCCAGGCTTGGATTGGATTAAGTTTTGGTCATTCAACTTTCAAGTTAGTTCAACTGGGTTATTTGGTTTGTAGACAAATTATTCAAGCACACTCCTGGTGCCAACATTTTGAGATTTAATTTAATTAGTACATAAGCTATTTGTTTTGATTTTGGACAATCCACCTGTAAAAGTCAAAATCAAATGGAAGAAATGAAATAGTTTTCATAGCACACAAATATATTTGAAAAAAAAAAAAAAAAAACTGCATTACCGGGTAAAACATAATCGTAAATGTTCTAAAATTAAACCCCAAAGAAAGCAAAGGCAATATAGGATATAAAAATTTCTAAATGGTGCTCAAAACCATGACTTATTCCTTGTATAATAACACAAAATGCAAAAAGCCCATCAATTAAACTACTGCTAAAGACATTATGCAATATTTTACTCAACAACTTTTTCAAAGAGAAAAGTATGCAAAGCTATTGCAATTGTATATCCAAAGATGGAAACTGATTATTACCAGATAAAAGGATGTAGAGTATTTTGCTTGACTGCTCTCTGTTGTATCAACCCAATATGATAGCCACAAATCATTTCCATTACGAGAAGCTTGCATTAAAACTGCCGAAAGGAATATCATGACTGCCATGAACCAACCAGAAAATCCAGCATACTTTCTGCAAAGGAAAACAGATAATGAATCGTAAAAGTTTAACAATCAAAGACATACAATGGAACCTAGATGAAGATACTTTTGATATTGTTACTTTCAGGAAAGAAATTCAAGTACAAAGTATCAAATGGTTACTGGTAAATACAAATAACTTACTTGTAAACAATAAGTTCAACTGTACCCTCTTTCCTCTGCTCGGCTTCAATAATCTCTTGTGCTTCCAATGGAACATCCACGGTATTTTCCTCCAACAGGGGACTTTGTTTGCCCATGTTGGAAGGATTTGTGCTGTATAATTTACTTTGAATAGAGGAAGATGTATCAAATTCATTAACTGAAGAAAACCCCGAATATACAGAAACTGCCAAGTCAGCTGAGTTTCCTACCCACTTCACATGCCCTCTTTCCATTACAACAATTATGTCAGCAGAAGATATTGCCTGGTAGGGTTGAAAGACTACATCAGATAGCAAAAAACAAATTACAGGATACATGCACTAGTCAGTTCCTTTATGATTACATTCATCACTACCATGAGCTAATTTTCTAATGAAGTATTATTAACCACTACAATCAACATAACTTTTTCTGAGAACCAAACTCAGTGAAAGAAAGACTAAAACTAGCTGAAAACTACAACTATAACAACAAACAATTCATGCTCCATTTGCAGCTTATTTGAAAGGGTCTTCTCATGGAGATTTACTTAAAAGTTATATAACTTCCAGAATTTCCATACGTAGATATAGTCCCAAAAAAATTCAGTATTATATATCCCATAGAAAATCTGTCTCCTGCACATCCCTTTTCATGTTTTGATATAGAATTCTTCAGAATAAGTTATTGAGTTTTGAGATTCTCTCTTCCTATTGGTTTTCTCTGGTTTTCTATACCTGGGTAGACAATGTTTTCCATTGCAAATAAACAAAACACAATTGTCTCAGTTCCTCCAAAATCAGGGTGTTTCAAAAAAGAAGATGCTTTGGAGGTTGTAAAAAGATTAGCGGCCTTGAGTGGAAGGATTAAACTGATATAGACTCTCTTTATCCTCCCCAAGCATGCTTTCATTGCTTGATTAACCATTCTAAATAGGCTTTGTACTTTGAAAAGATTGAAAAGTTGGGGGATTGTTTGGGGAGAACTACTTCAGTCATTTGCAATGCTCATGAGGAATCTAGGAACCACTTCTTGTCTACCCATTCTTCTTTCAATACAAGCTTATGTCACGCCCTGGGTGGGTGCACCAAGTGCCCAGGCCTGAGCACCACGGGTTAAGGCTGAAGCACCAGGGACATTGGCGGGGGTTTACGCACTAAGCCTTGAAGAGGAGTCTAGACCGCCCACACAGCATGCAGGCCTACCCGCACAGCCAGGGCCAGGCCCGCAAGACACCCGCACCACACCTAGGAGGGCCCAGGGGAATAGGACCGATTCAGGATCTTCCAAAAGTAGCCAGGATTGGCAAGAGCCTTCAGCAAGATCTGGTTGACCCTGAAAATCAGGAAGAGCCTTTTATATTAATATGTAATCTATGTAATCCCTGATTTTTAGGAGATATTGTAATCCCATTATTTTAGGAGCTAGCCATAAGTAGAGCTGGGGGCCTCAACTATAAATAGAAGGTCACCCCACCCTCCTTTGTACATCATCAGACACTTTGCTTCAGTAATATACAGCGCATATTCCAGCAATTCTCCTGCTCTCTCAAACTTGTGCATTCTGTCCTTCCAATTGTTCTAGTGCCCGTACGCTTGTGTTTTAGGTTGACTTAGGCTAAAAGGAGGTGATTCCAAGCCTAAGGCCGCCGGATTCTGAGTCTTAGGTCGGAGCCCATGACGGTTGGTATCAGAGCTAGTGCTGGGGTACAAGCAATGTGCCACCGAGGACGGTGGGCTTCCGTTGGAGTGGGGGAGGATGTCACAGTCCTAGAAAAGAGCCATCAATCCCACATTGGCTGTGTACTAGAGTTGGTCTTAGGATATAAGGGTTCACATCGCCTCCTCCTTATGAGGTGCTTTTTGTGGGACAAAACCGTGAGGCCAAGGGGGCCAAAACAGACAATACTTCACAAAGGTGTGAACCGTGACAGGGAGGCTGATCTAAGAGGCCAGATGAGTACATGCCCGAGTCCTGGAGCCGCACGGGTCTGGAGGTTGAGTCTCGGCCCGTGACACTTACACTCTGGTGTTAAATACTTCTACCATGCAAATAGGGGTGTAAATGAATAAAGTGTTCGATGAACAACTCAAGAACATGTTAGGTTAGAGCTTGTTTATGTTCATTTATGAGACTTAACAAATGAATTCATACAATATTTTTAAGCTCGATTAATAAATGAACAGAGCTTGAACATATCTAAGCTCCGCTTGTTTATGTTCATGAACTCATTTGATAAGCTGTTCACAAACAAGTTCACTTAAAATACTCAATAAGAGCTCATTTAATCCTTTTCAAGATAATACTTTTAAGCTTTAATATCTTTTAACTAAGTTCAAAACACAACTTAATATTGCAGCATTAGTAAGTACATATTACATATATTAAAATCATCCATAATTTTTATAAAAAGTAATATTGTAGATTAAAGTTTGATAAACCCAAAAATGACCACTAGTGATAAAAATAAGACTAGAAAGAAGTAATTCTACCCAGCATCCCACATCAAAAGAACAAGTGAGAATAAAGAGCCATGGTTTCTATAAAAAAAATCCTCCCAGACATCGTTTCCCACAAGTCAATCATCAATAATTGACTTCACATGCTGGACCCACATAAAGTGAGCTAAACATTGGCTTTTGGTTGACTTGAAGACCAGATAGTTCTTTTAGCTTAAGCGGCAAGCTCATTAAGAGCTCAAGCTAGGCTCAATACTCGGCTAAATTAAATTAGCCAAAGTTTGAACAAAGTTTTTTAGTTCATGTAAAACTCAGTTTGTATTCGAGATCAATAAAACTTAGCCGAGCTTAGGCTGAAGATAGAGATTACACACCAACCTGACCTGACAATCCATATTTAAGAGAGTGTTAAGGTAATTAATGCCTTTCTAAAGTGTTTTGAATATGCTTATGTTGAGCAAATCAATAGACTTATGCCACTGTCTAAGCAAATATACAGCTAACTAATTGCGCAAAACCAACAGAAATCAGCGAATAACCTGGATATTATGAGTGCAAAGAACACAAGTCTTATGTTCCATAAGAGGACCAAGAATAGCGTTTTGTAAAATCCATTTAGCAACATGTGCATCAACTGCACTGAGGATGTCATCAAGCATATAAACATCGGAATCCTGATAAATGGCCCTGTTTCATACACAATGTGGTAACAATTGTTTTTGTCAGTATAAGAAATGAAATTACATGCTAATCTATCCAGAAGCTAGCATCAACAAGTACATGAAGATTATGAACCTTGCCAAAGCAAGACGAGCTCTCTGTCCACCTGATAAGTTGGTTCCTTTCTCTCCAATATAAGCCAAGTCATGTCCAGCCATCAATGAAATATCAACATCTAGAGCACATGCTTGTAAAGCATCTGCGTACCTGATCAATGTATAAAAAGATATAGAGATAATATCCATTAGAGAAATATTTGGTTCTAGATGTGCTCTCTCCCTAATGGTAAGCATGCTCAAATGTTAGAAAAATTATTCCAATACTCATTTTAAATGACAGTGACATATGATCATAGATGGAGTACTCATACAATCTCAAACATATTTAAGTGTCTATATATAACTAAGATCAACTCACACCAGAATAAAAATTTTCAACTGTTTGACCCTTTCATATAAGTTCATGAAATTCATATTTTCTTAAATGAACTACTGGATTTGGAGTTTTATTCATGTCCATAAAGCATTCCAATTTTAAGAATATCAAATTGTTTCCATTCCATGATAGAATTTTAGCTGTTACACATACGCATATCATTCAAGTCATTTTCTAAAATTTGACATGCATAATATTTATACATAGTTTATTAGATGGAATGGTCTGTTGGTAAAATATTAATTGCATAGAAAGGGCATAAGAGTTGCTAATTCTTACAGTAGTGTTATTTGATCCTAACTCATATCCACCCCACACATACATATGACGAAAGAAAAAAATTTCTATCTCAATAGGATGATACCTTTGTGAATCTAGAGTCTTCCCAAATAATATATTGTCACGTATTGTTCCAGATAAGATCCATGGAACCTATAATATCAACAAATGCAAATATAAGAACATGTTATAAAGTAAAACGGTATAGATGCCTGATGAACCTAGTACCAATATACAGACCTGTGGTACATATGCTGCAGAGCCACTTAAATATATTGATCCATGAACAAGCCTTGTTTCTCCCAGTATTGAATTTAACAAGGATGATTTGCCTGAACCAACCTGAACACAGGATATTAGTAGTGATGTGGATGCAAGAATTATCAGATCCTCCTCATATGGTTTATACAAGTGCAGATTTATAATTGAATCTGTTGCTAGGTTCCATTTCACTCATCTCCCATGCAGGCAGTAACTAAAAAAACCTCTTATTAATACAACTAAATTACTTTTTTTTAAGATGTTACCTTTTTAACAGAATTAATAATGCAGTTGAAGCTGCCAATGAAAACTCTTACTAATTCAATGAAAATTAATTTATAAACTGTACATATGTTATACCCAACACAAACTAGTTAAGCAATTGAAGTTTTGCTAGGACTCAATCAAAAAACTAATATAATAACTACTACTTCAGGTGGTCAGAATCAGCACTTGCAAGGGTCCCATCCTATCAACTAGTTCCTAGCTAAGAAAGTAATATGTTGAATATTATGAACAAAATGGAACATGGAAAGCTCATGCTATCAGTCAAAATTTAGATAAGATAATTTCTCCCGTTAAGGTTTGAATTTTGAAACAAATTTGTAATATCCTCATGGCAGGAAATGGATGCTACAACATATGCATGTAACCGTAGCCTCCTTTATTTCTACTAAAAGGCAAACTCAAGCAAAGATATTATTTTTCTCATATGCAACAGACCCAACAAGTATCTTGAGTCAAAAGTAAGAAATTCTATAGTGCCGACTTTTATATTCTCTTATTTGTTACTTGTGTCCACTGCTTAGACAGAATAATGTTGTTCGCTGTCACCACGAAATGAAAAGGAACCTCAAGAAATGCAAGAAAGTGGGGACATTAAGAAACAAAGAGACATTAATCTGAAAATAGATGATCACTAATTAGCTTCTCCTTTATTTTGCACAACGGATTCCATTGCTTACAAGTAGTCTTTAGTTTTTTGTTAAAACCTTCTACTTTCTTAACATTTCCTAACATTCACCTTTATAATTTTTCCACTGAGAGGGGGCAAAAGTACCATTTTTTGTAGAAAATTCTGTTTTCCATGTATCAATGTCCATACTATGTCATTAAAACACTCAAAAGGGAAAGATGTTGCATTAAAAAAAAAAAAAAAGAGTAAAACAATAAAATAGACTCAAGGAAGATATTTTACCTCTCCAACTACTGCAAACAAACGACCCTTTGGGAGACTTAGTGTGACATGATTCAAAACTAGATTCTGTTCATCAATACCACTTGACCAAGCACAACATGCATCATGCATGACTACAGCCATATCATTGGAGACAAGATCAGATTGGTCATTAGCAAAAATTGGTTGAAATTTAGCTTTCTGTTCCACTTCAGATTTTTGCTCTGAACAACTAAGGAACCTGCTCAACCGTCTGCTAGATATAAAGGCCTGTGGCAAAGTAAGGAAAAATGAGTGTTCTCCATTCTCAATAATAACAACTACTAAGTATGGAGAAGCTGTACTAAGGTCATGGTACATGGGAACTCACATCAATAAGTCCATTGATGACCCATGGAAATGAATTGAGAGGAGAAATCAAATTGTTAAAAAGAGCAAGACATGTGAAAACCTGAAACAATGATTCTTAGAAACATTAAATTCATATTATTCTTTAGATACATAGAATATTTGGAACAGAAATTGAAATCATCAAGGTATTATGCACTGAAATATAGCCTAAATACCATTGCAGCATCAAGCTGATGTCCCATCAACGTAAAGAGTCCAAATGTGCATAAAGAGAAAAGAGTTGGTGTTGTAGCCCAAAAGAATACACACCAAGCATCCAAGTACTTCCGTGTCTAAAATCCAAAGCTCAATTATAAGAATCAAAATCTATACAACTTTCGTTAGACAACAGCATGAGTCATGCTAATTATATTGTGCTAAAAAGTCCAAGAACAAAAGCATGGCATCATACAGCTAAGTGCTTCACTTCCAAAGATCTTGTATCCATCAACCAACTAGAAAAAAGGACCTCCCAGCTATACATCTTCAAAGTGCGAATATGAGCCAAAAGTTCTCCTGTTCTTCTAATCCTGCCAAAGAACATTTGGACGTAAATGATTTCTATAATTAGTTCTATACATAATTTTCTGATGTCGCTACAATAGTGTGGGAAAACACTTATTTAGTGCTGGTTGTAATATTGTAATCTGTATATATATATATATATATATATATATTTTTTTTTTTTTTGTATCTCTATAATTAAGTATTTATATCCCTAGAATTAAGGACAAAAAATTAGGATAGACAATCCCTCAATTATAGGACCAGTTTTAGAAAGATTTAGTTTCTTAGTTTAGCCACTAGTTAGTTGTATATAAACCTAAGGTGCTTATATAATTCTTTATGAGCAGTTTTGCCAATATATATTCAGTTTTACTCTTAGTTTTTCACGCAGTTTTATTTCTTAGTTTTTCCACATGGTATCAAAGCTTTAGGCTCTACTTGGGAAGAAAATTATTTTTCAGCCTTCATTGCTGAATTCTATTTCAGGCCTTTATAGTCAAATCTTGTTAAATCTTTCAGTCTTATTTTTTCCCTTCTTTGGCCTTCATTGCCTAGAATCATCTCTGGTTAAACCTTTACTATCAAGATTCGTTTCAGTTCTGAGAAAGATAACTATGCTAGAAATTGCAGAATTTGCCACTAGTACCCGATTTGAGGAAATGACAACTAGTAAAACCAACAGAGTACTACAGAAGTCTCGGGAACAAAGAAAGTTGGACAGGGAAGAGATTGAGAAATTAAGAAACCTATAAAAAACTCTTGAAAAACCTACTGAGGTTATATACTTTGGGTAAGGTCTCTAGTTTAGGTAAAGCTTCTAGTTCTCATGGATTAAATGTCTCAGTTAAGCCTATTACGAGTTCTTTGGTCATTGAGTCAGGAACCACAGACCATAAGACACATTCTTCACAGAAGTTTAGTACATATACCATGTGTTCTAATAATAAGAAATTGTTGTTGCAAATGGTTCACTTACTACAGTGGCAAGATTAGGAAATGTTCAAATTAATCCCTCATTTGTTCTTAAAAGTTCTTCACGTTCTTGGATTGTCTACTAATATGATATCTATATAAAAACTTACCAGAGTAGTGACTTTTAATCCCTCCTATTGTGAATTTCAAGACCAAAGTTCGGGGAAAATGATTGGATTTGCTAAGGAGAAGGATGGACTATACTATTTTGAGACATCAAACAACACAAGTAATATCAAGAATAGTTTACCTTTGTCATTTCTTTTTGAAAAATCTCCCAATAAAGACAAAATATGGCTTTATCATTTTCGTCTTGGACAACCTTCTTTTGAAACTTTGAAAAACATGTTTCCTTCTTTGTTCAAAGGATTAAATGTTGAAAATTTTCATTGTAATGTTTGTGAACTTGCAAAGCATAGACGTGTGTCTTTTCCCGTTAGCAATAAAAGAAGTTCTACTCCTTTTTACTTGATTTATAGTGACATATAAGGTCCCTCCACAATTCCTAATATTTTTGGTGCAAGGTGATATGTTTCTTTCATAGATAATTATACTAGGATCTCTTGGATATTTTTACTTAAATCCAAATCAGATGTGAATAGTATGTTTTTGAGCTTTCAAAACATTATCCAAAATCAATTTAGCGTGAAAATCAAGATATTTAGGTCTAATAATGCAAGAGATTATTTCAATCAAAGTTTATTTACCTATTTCCAAAAATAGGAGATTATCCACGAGTCTTGTGTTAATACTCCATAGCAAAATGGAGTGGCAGAGAGGAAAAACAATTATTTACTAGCCACAACCCAAACTTTACTTTTTCAAGTAACGCACCCAAATCCTACTAGGAGGAAGTTGTTCTCACTGCCACACATATTATAAACAGGTTACCTTCATGGATTTTGGGATTTAAAACTCCTATGGAACTACTCTCACAATTCTATCCCAACTTTAATACCACAAAAAACCTCACACCTAGGATATTTTGTTGTACATCATTTGCTCATGTTCACAGTGATAATTGGAGGGAAATCGGACTTAGAGCAATTAAGTGCATTTTTTTAGGGGTATTCATCAACTCAAAAAGGGTATAAGTGCCATCATCCTCTTACTAAAAAATTTTGTGTCTACAGATGTCACTTTTGAAGAAAATAAACCATTGTTTACTCAACCTTATCTTCAAGAGAAGACTTTGTTCATGGAAGATAAAGATAAAGACTTCTTTTTGCTTGATTTGTCCACATTTTCAATATTTTCACCTATTAATTCCTCTGAATCTAAACCTGTTTCTTCTAAGTCCAAGTCAAACACTGAATTTGAGTCTGAACCCATTCCAAACACAAAAGATGTGATAAAGGATAATATTGTTCTTGATTCTATGAAGAAATTACATGTGTACTCAAGAAGGAAAGTTCCAGATCCTGAAACAGTGCAAGTCCAAGAACCTGATTCTAACTCTGAAAATGAGGTAACTATAGTCTTTGACTCTGTTTCTCAAAATGAGCATGAATCTCCTAAAACTATGACTAATGATTATGATCTACCTATTGCCATTAGAAAAGGAACCAGAGAATGTACTAAGCATCCACTACACGCAATCTCTAATTTTGTGTCATATGAAAAATTCTTACCATCCTACAAAAATTTCCTTGTGAGCATAAACACTATTTCTATTCCAACTACATTATTTGAGGCATTATCTAGTAAAAAATGGAGACAAGCCATGAAAATAAAAATAGAGGCCTTAGAGAAAAACAAGGCATGGGAACTGGTAGAGTTCCCTAAAGGAAAAAATCCAGTTGGATGTAAATGGATTTTCGCTGTAAAATACAAAGTGGATGGTACCGTCAAAAGGTTTATAGCCAGGTTGGTGGCTAAGGGCTACACTCAAACTTATGGAGTAAATTATCAGCAAACTTTAGCTCCAGTTGTCAAAATGACTATAGTTAGGATTTTGTTATCATTGGTTGTAAATTACAATTAGCAACTTCAACAATTTGATGTAAAGAATGTTTTTCTACATGGTGATTTGAAAAAAGAAATATATATGAAGATTCCACCGGGATTTGGAGGTCATATAGAAGCAAACAAAGAATGCAATCTAAAAATGGCTTTCTATGGCCTTAAACAGTCTCCTAGGGCTTAGTTCGAGAGTTTTGCCAAAGTAATGCTAGCAATGGGATATAAGCAAAGTTAAAGAGATCACACACTATTTATCAAGCACTCTGATTCAGGTAGAATCATAGTTCTATTAGTGTATGTTGATGATATAATTGTAACCGAAGATGATGAAAAAGAGAGAATCTCTAAAACAGTATTTGGCTAGAGAATTTGAGATAAAAGAGCTAGGGAGATTGAAATACTTCCTAGGAATTCAAGTAGCTCACTCACAGTATGGTATTTTCATCTCACAACAAAAATATGTAATGGATCTTTTGAAGGAAACGGGAAAGCTCACATGTAAACCTGCAAATACCCCCACAGATCCTAATCATAAACTTGGAAAAGCTAATGAAAATGCTGCTGTAGATAGAAAAATGTACCAGAGATTAGTTGAAAGACTCATTTATCTCTCACATACTAGACCTGATATAGCATATGTTGTAAGTGTGATAAATCAATTTATGCATAGTCCTAAAGAAGTGCACCTACAAGCTATCTACCGTGTATTGCACTATTTGAATGCCAAATCCTAGAGAGGTATTTTGTTCAAAAGAAATTCGGGACCGGTTCTAGAGGCATACACAAATGCGGATTATGCAAGTTCAATAACTAATAGAAGATCCACCTCAAGCTACTGCAATTCCATAGGTGGTAATCTTGTGACTTGGAAGAGTAAAAAACAGAATGTGGTGACAAGATCAAGTGCTGAAACAAAGTTCAGAGCAATAGCTCAAGGAAATTGCGAATTACTATGGTTAAACATAATCCTAGAAGTCTTAAAGATCAAGTGGAATCGACCAATGAGACTCTGCTGTTATAACAAGTTTGCAATAAGCATTGCACACAATCCTGTGCAACATGACAAAACAAAACACATTGAAGTAAACCAGCATTTCATAAAGGAAAAACTAGACAGTGGGTTGATTTGTACATAGTATGTATTAACCAAGGGTCAACTTGCAAATGTGTTAACTAAAGGTCTCAGCAGTGCAGTGCAACATTTCAAGAATTTATTTCCAAGATAGGAATGGAAAACACCAATTCACCAACTAAAAGAGTGTGGGAAAACACTTATTTATAGCTGGTTGTAATATTGTAATCTGTATATTTATATTTGTATCTCTAGAATTAAGTATTTGTATCCCTAGAATTAAGGACATAAAATTAGGATAGACAATCCCTCAATTATAGGATCAGTTTTAAAGATATTTAGTTTCCTAGTTTACCCACTAGTTAGTTGTATATAAACCTAAGGTGCTTGTATAATTCTTTAAGAGCAATTTTTCACTATACATTCAATTTTACTCTTAGTTTTCCACACAGTTTTATTTCTTAGTTTTTCCACAAATAGTTATTATCTTCACCATAATAATAATAATAATCCTTTATTTTGGCAAAATGAAAAAATCAAACAATGAAAAGGATACCCTTAATCACCACAGTGCATCTGTAAACTGACTTCCTAGAGGTCAGAGGATACCTAAATAGCAGTACCATCTTGGTCCTTAAAACAAATGCTATTATGTCCGATCTGAACTTCATTTTCACATCATTGCGTATTTCTGAAGGTAGAGAAATCTCTTGCCATAACCTTTTCAGTTTTCTATGGACTCTACTATTTCACTCTATCCAGAATATAAAGACTTGATAGAAGAGAATAACACAGCTCCTGAAATGAGCTGCTCAAATGCTATTCAACATCCATCTAGTTCCATGATTCCAATCTTGAGCAATTCTGAGAAATCTGCCACTGGCAGCACTATTTCCCAAACCATTGTAGGAAAACCACAAGCACACAATAATACTGTGAAACGCTTTCATCACTAGGACCATGTATCTCAGATAATACAGCAGTATGACCATCTCAGTGCATTAGTTAATATCTTGTTAACAATCTCCATTGTGTGGACAACTTCAGAATGAAGTTCCGCTTATATATGTTATGCTTAAGCCAAACAAGATTAAACCATGTCATCTGGGTAACCTTTGTTTAAACTGCCATACAAGCAGTTTTGAGCGTAAACTCTCCTTATCTCAATTTCACATTTTTGTCACAAATCAGTAACATTAGCCTTTTTTTTTTTTTTGGCTAAACCAATTTCAACAATTGCATCTCCATCCATTTAATCAACTAAGGCCCCACTTGACCTTCAGCAGTCAAGCCACAACATGTTTCTGTGATCACCGAGCTCATGTTTTTGCTTTTAAGATTTTCCTCCAAACCAACTATCATCATTTGAGGACTTTAACCTCCATAAGCTTCTGGTTTTTATCTTCATCAGGTGCATCTTCCTTGGGTGCATCTACTGCACCTATAAAGATCGACTTTCACGTGCAAATTCCACAAGTGTTTTGAATTTGCAGCCATGTTCCTTTCTCCTGTTCTTTTAATGCCTATACCACTACCACGCCGGCACCCCACTCCACATTTCTTGTTCATTTCAGGACCCCCGATAAAACCTCCTACATTTCTTTTTAACTTCTTTGATTTCACTTTTTGGAGGATGTAGATGCTACTCCAGTAACTTTTAATGGTCATCAATACAGAGTTCACTGTCAGGAATCTTTCATCATTGATAAGAACTTCCCTATCCAATTATTGATTCTATTAGTTCTCAAGTCAATCAAAATCTAGAATCATTTTCACGATTTAATTGTTGATTTGAAAAAAAAAAATTTCTTCCCTAGGGCCTAATAATATAGTTGGTTTTGCACCTAAACAAAGTACAAAAACATCATGCTGATAAATATCCATCCTTTTCAAAGTACATTGTCTTCAAGAAAAAGACAGCTAAATCACCAGAAGTGGCCTCCAGAAATCATCAAATTGTTTATTTATTTCATTAAGAGTTCCATAGCATCAAGCCTCTTTAGAAAAGCAAACAAAGGATATTAGCAGAAAAATTATTATGATTCAAATGTAAAACCTTATGCTTTGGGAAACCTCATTGTGCCATAAAAAGTTATGTGAAAAAGTAAGCATACCTCTCATCCTTTTGCTTCATCATTTTCTCAGTGGCACTTGCAATCAATTCAGAAATCCATTTATTTACTGCAGATATGACAATTCAACAATAAGAACTATATGCTAAATCATTTGAGAAAACTTTCAACAAGGAATGTGCAATAATTATGCAGTTCCACAGTTTGATTATTCTAGACTGATGTGTAGAGTATTTATCTGCACCATATTATAAGATGGTCTTTAATTTTTTCAAAGCACTAGGCCTCAACTAGCTTGAATAGTCTTGAGAGATTTTCAACTAAAATCGTAGTCACAGATTGAGTGCAAACATTACCAACACAGATAACATCATATTTGACAGGTTGCACAAACTAAATCCATTTAAGAAATAAATTCTCATAAATTTATTGCAATTAATGGCCATTCTGCTAAAAAAAAAAATTTAATATAGCAAGTAGTATTTTAGTTTTCAGTATAGGTTCAGAAAATAAAAACTTGAAGAGTTTTTCGTCATAGAGTTCAACATTCCAATCTCCACATTATATTATTATTACAACTTTCTTTTATAGCAACCAAACAATTTTACCAATTCTCTCAAAGAGAGTGCATAGCTTTCAGTTAATGCAAATGAATTATTTTGTCTAGCATGCATGAGTTCATTTGTGATAACTATTAATTATCAGCAACAGACATTTGAGATTTAGGAATTTTTAAGTTACTTTACCTCTTGATTGAGAACATGTTATTTTGTAGAAAATAACTTAAGTCTCTTTTGTGCTGGCTGTATGAGCTTTTAAAGTTTCATCGCATATATGAACATTTGAGCTTTTAAACCTTTTCCCTTTTCTTCATAAAGAATTTATTTTGACAACAATGTGTCAAATCAGCTAATGCAAAGCATAGGTATGTATCTAGTAAAACATCCAACCAAAAACAAGAAAATTTTCGACCTGTCAAGTTAAGATATATTGATAGAGCTAGAAGAATTTTAAACTTTTCAAAACAATTTGGGCATGGCTTTGGCAGCAGTTTTCTATGCTAGTTTCTTAGCCTTTGGAGGATGTATACGGATACATCTAAAACCTAGTAGTGTACGAGAAGGCCAATCTAGTAGATTTAGAATTAGTAAAATCAACCACAAGAACAAAGAGATTTCACCATCAAGAAGTAAAAAGCCATAAAAATGCCTGGAACATAGTCTTTTCTTGATTACCAATCCTCAAACAAACAGAGTTTCATACACTGAATTGACTAAATGCTCCTACATGGAGCATACATGCAAAAGTACATTTAAATAGTGGAGTAATAACTCCAAACCCGATCAAGTAAAATTGCTAACTTAAGATTAAGAGTTAATTCATACCCAAAAGGAAAATCAAGTCTTAATTTTTAGCAATACCTGGTATTAGCAGGATGGTTATTGCAAGTCCAGCCATAAAAGCTAATTTGACTTGTGTATACAAAAGATACAGTGCAACTCCAATTTGTAAAGGTAGGCTGAAACATTCATCAAAGACAGAATAGTGCAAAAAATGTAAGCAATGGGTCATGCCAGAGATCTGCCTTAGATTCAACCTAGACATTACAAATCAAGCAGTAGACCTTTTTTCCTGAAAAGAAAAACTAATTATATTTCTATTAACATGATAAGACTACCCATAGTTAGTCTTTAATGATTCACATTTCATGATTTCAAAACATTGTGATAATAAAAATAAAAAAACATAATTAAGCAGCACAGAAAGCTTTCAATGCTAGGAAAATATCTGTTAATTGTCCAACCTAAAACAAATTGACTATAGGTGGATGGACCCATCTTGAATATAAGACCACATGAAACCCAAGACTTATCAAATATTGGATAACAACACTTAACACTCCCCCTCACGTGTAGCTCAACAAAGGCCTACACATGGACAACCTCATAAGGGGTGCACAGCCACAGATGAGATAACAACACAACAGAACTTGAGATCTGATACCATGTTAAGCATCCAACCTAAACCGACTGGCTATAGGTGGTAGGGCCCAACCTGAATATGGTAACACAGAAAACCCAAGACTTAAACAGATGTGAGATAATACCACTTAACAATATATTACTATCTCCACCTCTTTTCACAAAGATATCTTGCTCTTTACTTTGCAATTACAAGAGCAACACACTTTAGGTATTGCGTGATTTAAGAAATTACCTCCACATGTCATGGAAACTGTTACACAAATTGACAGTTCGATCAGCATCTATAGACATAAATGTTTGAATTTCCCCTTCAGAAAACTTTGACCTCTCTGCTATGCTGACGGATAGACACTGAGAAGAAAGTTTGTGAATGTAAAATTGATGATAAAGATTCAAAGTCAAATATACAAAGCAATGGAAGGCCCAAAATTTGATTTATGAATCAAGAAATATCAAACTCAACAACAACAAACAAAAACATAAGGTTACAAAGTAGGAGGGAAAGAGAGGCTAGACCAATAATGGCACCCAGCAAGGGTCTTAAACATTTGTCGAAACAAATATTAAAATTGAAAGGCATAAGAGGAAGTAAGAAAAAGGGCATCCCATTCCGTATATAAAAATTGTAAATATCATCAATGAACCATTTCTTCGCAACTGTTCTAGAAGGATTAAATTGCATTCCAAAAGCTAAATTGCCAAAAAAATAAAATAAAATAAAATTCGCTACAGCAATTTTAAACTAGCTTAAGATTCATCATTCATTGAGTACAAATTTGAAACATAAAACTGCACTCCATCCTTCCTACTCTCACTCTGTCACATCGTAATCTTACCTTCATTCCAGATATCAAGGAAAAAGGTGTAGTTCTAGTCATTTCATGGCACCCATACTCATTAAACTTCCCTATCAGTATTAGTTTTTCTAGAGGAAGCAATAAAGTGCTAAACAGTGCATCTTATGCTTATAACCGACCTCTCCATTTGAATCAATCATTTGTTTTCACCAAAGAATATTTAGTTTGAATTATCATGATGCAAAAATTTCTTGAGAGTTGCAACAGCCAGCAAGACTTTAATGATGTAAAAGATGGCAACAGGTATTATACTAACTATTTTATTAGACACACATATATATTGGTGAAAAAGGTAAGCATATGTCTTCTTTTTCAACATATATATATATATATATATGAAAAAGTAAATGCAATTAATTCAAAAAAATGTTCCAATCCATTTATTCACCAAGATTATTAACCTTTATTTTACATGGTATTGCATGACAACTTGCACAGTGATTAATTTTTCTTTTCGTTGGATATGGTAGTCGAAATAAATTCCCAACTTCCTCCTCAGAATATCCTAAAAAATAAAAAGATCTTAAAAGATAAAATCTTTCTCAAAAAATGTGCAAATGCATCTCTTATCAATAGAATCATCAATACAAGCGAAGGACAGAGAATTCTTGTTTTCATACCAGATATCAGACAAGCACAAGCAAATTTGAAAGAAATACAAGCAAAATACATAATTTTAGTTATCTTTTGAGAATTTACATTTCTAATATTTGAAAGAAATATCACATACCTTACAGTAAATAACAGTCATGATACTAGATCGTAACTTTAGCTTCATCTTCGAAAGATGAAAAGTATACTGTGTATCAGAAAATGATCTGCAAGATTGGGACAAGCACTTATTAATTAAACCATTGTGACAACAAAATCGCTCCTTATGTTCTCTGCTTACAAGGGGTAAGCAGTGGTACACAACAAATAATCAAACAACAATCCAGTACATGTAAGAGATATAATTTTACTTGGTATTGACTTTTTTTTTTTTTTTTTGAGGAACTTGACTTTAGAACAAATTTTAGCTGCAAAATTTAATCAAGCGGACTAATACAAGGAGAAAAACACAGAAAGAAATAAGTTCAAATATCATCATTGACTACTTAGGAAAAAGCTCACTTGACAACTGATACTAGGCCTAATGATATCGCAAGAACATAACCATCCAAATTTCCAGAACCTGACAAAAGAAAAACAAGTTGCAAAAGCAATGTCAACACAAGTATAGTTCCAATTAAAACTTCTTTAAAATGTAATTATTATGGAGCACCAATTAGTTACAAATACATTACAAGGAAGAGTCGTGTCATGTTCACAAAAAAGCTATAAACTTCATACAGAAAAAGAAGCTTAGCTTAACAGCATTCATAAATTCTGCAAGAAATACTCACATTACCAAATATGGATATAACATGAACGCCAACTTGTGATCTAAAGCAATCAGTTATTTCATTATGGATATGTTTGACATGTGATTTAGCTCACTTGAAAATTGCATGTTAAACAATTACTAGTATATTCAAATGAAATTTTAGAACAGACTAACTGTCCATACAGTTAAAAACTTTTAACAAGGTATCACTCCCTCTCCTTCTGTCTCCATTCTTTCCCCTTCATTCCCCTCAATCCAAATAAATCCAAGGTAACGGCATGGATGGCTTTCCTTGAGAGGTGATAGAGAACAGTGCTTCCTGTAAAACAGGCAGAAACTGGTAGGGACCTAAAATCCTAGTATCCTAAAGAAAATCCTTTTATTGAACTCTCTTTAACATCTCATATGTGACAGATGCACGAAGCCAAAAAAAACAATAATAGGACCCATCTCATTGAAGGCTTGAGCTAGTACCACAAAACTACGAATCTTATTAAGTAAACTCAAAACCAGTATCATGCAATGAGTCACGGATTATGGAGTAAGTTGTATAAGATAATAAGAGTTGCAATTCAGATCTTTTATCACATTAAGTACGACAGTATTTGGTATTGTTTGTATCAAAGTGGAATAGGGAGCAAGTAAAGAATCATCCTGCAGTATAGAGAAATATTAAAATAATGAAATGAGCGATATAACAAAAGTACGAATGTGGTAACAACAGACATTTGTTCAAGAATTAGAACTATGCAAACCTTGTTGAAGAAACCGAATTAGCCTATTCAGAAGCAATGGTCCACCAAAACCAAGGCAATCATTGAACACCTGAAAAAGCAAAACTATACATTTAGTTGGAAAAAATGTAAAATTCATATGAAACAACTTGAAAACCTTCAGTCAAAGATATTTTATTTTTTCTGCAAGTTGAACCCCAGAATTCCCCATAAGAAAAGGACACCTCAATTCCTCCAAAAGTTTTATATGTACTACGTTTTGATCCTAAGACATCCAGCTTGACATAAAGGAATTTAATATCTACAAGGACAAACCAGAAAAGAAACAGGCACACAACTCCTAATAATCAGGTATCCACTTATCTAACTGAGGAAAAATACACAATAAATGAGAAACAAAACCCATTTGTTCTTGTAACACAGATGCATAAACACAAAAGCATCTATTTTCATTTTTTATTAGTAAAGCATAAAGAATTCCAGATGCCTTCTCGAGCAGTCCTTAAAGAATAAGAATACCTTTAATAAACCTAGACGAAGATATGGCCACCCGTATGCAGAGAAGATTGCTTTAAATAATGATGCATTTGAGCAAAATTTATTTTGCTGATCTTGCCAGCAGCTTAATAATTTATCATGACATGTAGAAGGATCCATATCAATCGGCAACAAAAGCAAATCATCAAAGTCAAGCTGCTTCAGCAAACCATTATTCATTACAGAAGTGATAGATCTGAATGTCGTATGATCCCAAAAGCCATGTGTGCTTCTCTTTGACAACCACAACCAAGTGACATGCAAAACTTTAATATTAGTTTATTTACTTTGGAAAATAAAATACCAATAGCAGCAAAATAAGACACGTTATTTAATGACAATACAAAAAATAAAAAACAATAAGACTTGGCATGGCAGTTTCTTGGATGGATATAATGGATGGTAAGCTAATAGACAGATGCTAAATGTGATGCAAAGCAGACATGTCAAATAGCTAGACATTATTCAAACTAGGTTTAATTAAGACAAAAGCATTCAAGTGAAAGCAATTTTACACTCTTATAAAGGCTGAGACGCATCAGTTATTAGGATCTCTGTGAGTGTGTCCACATGCACTCATTAAAAACAAGCAGAATTATTATTTTCATAAATATGGACTGAGTACATATATATCATCATTAATGTAAGACTAAAAAATGAAAACCAATATCACAAAATGAGACTCCAGACTTTAGGAAAAAAAAAAGGAACTAGTATGTACTATAAAACAGATGGAAACTTCAGACTCAAGTTAGCTTTCATGAAATTAGAGAAAACCTTAGATCACCAAATGGAAAAGGTAGGAGTATAGGATATTGATTGTTTTGAGATGATTACAAAACAATTACCGTTAATAAACCCTAAGTATCCTAATTATATTTAAGGCAATCTTGATGCTTCCTCACAATTTTTGGACACATTTCCAGGTTATACTTCCAAATTTCACAAATAACAATTGGTAGAGAGGCTCAACCTGAACATAAAACCAATGTAACCTACAAACCTTACCTATGTGGGATAACACCACAACAAAATTAGTTTTGGTTAGTGTAATTTCCAATTCGGTTATTTAAGGTAAGAGAGGGAAAATGTTGTTGGAACAAAGAAAGAATCTAGGACGTTGAATATAAAAGATGGGGGGATGCAAACTCTTTTGGTATAAGAATAAAAAAAGGTATAACAATACTAAGAGCACAGTTTTTAAATTGTTTCCAAAAAACACGAATCATATAAAAAATAAATGGACAGGAAGCATACATGAGAAAAGTTAAGATGAAAAGAATTACTTACAGAATCCCTGTGACAACCTTCCTCAATGTCCATCTCAACACAAAGAAGTGAATCTTCCATTGGCCTACAATTTTTGCATGCAAAGATTTTAGCCAATAAATCTCAATAACATAGAGGAAAGAAAAAGGGCATTGATATTCAATGAAGTGCCAATGGCATCATCTGTCAAGTGAGACTTTGATGCCAACAAGTTTATCTAGCCTCCTCAGAATGTTATGAAAGATGAAAAATCTAATGAATTGGAATATTTAGCAAAGTGCTCCATAGAACAAGTCTAAACTCTTTGTCCACATAACTATTTCTTCATGCAGAAAATGAATAAACAAGAACTTTACAAGAGATTCAAAGCCATAAAGACTGGATCCGTGCAATGATGGGAAACCTTTTCAATATGATTTGTATCATTAAGTTACAAACATAAGCCATGAATTAATTAATGGGAGAATGAAAGCTAAACAATGTGTGTCGTTAACATATTGCATCACTTTCATTTAGCTGAAATATTTTGTGTGAAAAATAATAAACTAACTAGTCCCACAAACAAACAAAAAAAGAACAAAAATAAAGATGAATAAACTAACAATGCAAGAATATGTTTGACAATGTGATCAGGTCATTATTGAACCTGGTACACATCATGGTTCTTTTTTCAAGTGTTTATATAAGTTGTAATCAAAATAATTGGTTTCCCCACATGAAACATGATAATTGAAATATTGTCACACTTAATATGTCCTCAGAATTCCTTGATAATAGGGGTTTTTTTTTTTTTTGTATTCTGCTTTTCCCACACCATCTCCCTCTTCTCAGTTTCCAGGTTCTTTATGATTGAAAAAGCACCTGAGAAAGTTTTCAAGATACATCAAAAATTAGACTTCCTATAACTTTTCACATCATTTTTTCAGCAAAATACATACTTTTAAATATCTTCCAATGGCGCATCTTATTATCTTATTTAATTATGGATCCAATCATGATAGAGCAAAGGTTGGGGCTATTATCTAGCTTAGTTAGTAAAATCTCTTCGAAATTTTACCAAGGACCTCATACCCCCTTCATTAAGGATGGAGAGGGGGTCAAGATGATTCCCCCATTGTCCTTCCCAGCCTTTGGGGAAAACAAATAAGGAAGCAATTTACAAGATCACACAAATTCTACAAAAAAACTATGAATGGTTGAATGAAATGCTTGCTGCTAGCCTCATACAACACATTACGTTGAGTAGCAACAAGAATAAGAAAAGCAACAGTGCACCAAAGAAGCTTTTTCTTTGTTTTACTTTCTTTTGGGTGGAAGGAGAGAGAAAGCTGTTTTCATTATGCATGTTTGTGAGCAAGACTAATAATGACATAATAGCAACCAATCATATCCAAGCAGTTTAATTATCTAAACTTAAGATACACAATGGACAACAGTCACAAATAACCTGTGGTACATCCTAAATGCTTGCATATCATTAACGAAATCATACCTGCTCTTGGTGGATGTTTGTTTTATCCGGATATAGTTAATGGACAAGCAAAACATGATATCCAAAAATAAAATAGAGCTCCCTTTAAGACACTCAAAGACCTGCCAAAATGATTTATAATTAATTATATTGGTTTACTGAAAATTCCTAAAATCAGTAGTGCCTGCGTGGTTCAATTATTTCAATTAAGAATTACATAAAGTTCAATAAAAAATCAGAAGAAAATTATAATACTGCCTCAAAAGGAACAAGACAAGGCATCATGAATAGTACAACGAATTATATAGAACCACTCAATCTATTTAAAGGAAGTTTTAAAAGGAAAACAAAGCAATACCTCCAATGAAGAGAATGTTGCTTGCAAATGGGGGATTCCAAACAGTGGTTTTACAATCCACCATATACAGAGTATCATATCGCAAAATATGTGTTGAAAACAGGCACACCTCAAGGAGAATACAATAGTTGCCTAAATACATTCACAATATTAAAGAATCAGACAAACAATATTAAGATACCGAAGTAAAGTTCACGAAAGTAAAGCAAACTGCTTAAAGTTCTCAGCAACAAAGCCAGTGACTTAAGAATAGGAAGCTTACCCAGACCATGAAACACGAAAATCTGAAAAGCCACTCATGATATAAGATAAAATCTCCATGAAGTTTTTTCCTTGAAAGCAAAATGATATCCACACATGACAAACATGCTCCAATGACTGCTATAAAATGTAGAAGGACCTTCTCTGAAAATTTTACCTACAATATATACATAATATATAACTTTTGAAGGTTTAGTAGATATTGTGGTTAAAAATTTAAAAGCAAAACCAATTTTTTGCTACTTCAATTTTAATTTAGATGAAAGACTAGAATCAAAAGAAAAGAGAAAAAGAGGAAATAGAAGGAAATGGGGGAAGGGGATTCATGAAGAAGCTTACCCGCATAATTTAGTAAACACTAACATAAGAAGGATTAGAACTTAACACGAGCAACAGGACAAGAAAGTCCGGTGAAAGGAATCAAGAAAGTCAGAAGAACTTACATTAATTTACTAACAGAGAATTGACCAAAAAAAAAAAGAGACATTATAAGGGGAAGAGAACAAGAATAATAAGAAAAGGCAGAACTTATTCATTTTCCTCTAATTTCTCAACAAGAAAAGATTTCAAAACAAAGATCAAGCACAAGTTTTCACCCAATACCAGTGCCGATAAGGATCAAATAGCACAAAGTAGTCATCCAAACTAACTTAATACTTCAATGTAATGTCCTATGATGGAAATACATTTTTTTAAGAAGCTATTTGCTGATAAATTTGTAGGACAAGTAATGATGACTAATTTAGTGTGGGTTCAAAGTTTTTTTTTTTTCAAAAAAGAAAAAGAAAAAAGTAAATATATTTCCATTCCAGAGACATGAACAAATGGAAATTTCTCAGTAGATATTAAAGAAGAATTTAGTAATTTACCCTCCAATTTGTTCTGGTGCTTCTTCTCATAATTCCAAGGATGAAAATCATGGCAATAGTTGCGGCATTTACACCAAAACCTAAGACCGTAAAAACGCATAAGGAAAGCCAAATTCATAGAAACAATCCGTGCTTTTGTGTTAAAAGTGAAGCTTAAAAAAGTAAATTAAATAAATAAATAACTTTATAAAATAATAAAAGGATATAAGTCATCAAAACATTGCGAGAAGCCATTTCCATCCCAAACCTGAAAATTAAAAATAAAATAAAAAACAATTAAAAGAAGGAAGATTATAGTGAGAACCATAACACATTTATCATTTAAACATTTTAAACTATCGACAGATAGAGAGAGGCAAATTCAAACTACAACTTCAACTGAAGTACAGAACGAATGAATTAGTGAAAAAAAATTTAAATTCAACTCAGTTTCTCGGCAAACAAACAGAGGTTTAACACGATGTTTAAAAAGCCTCTTATTTGGTTCCTGAGAAAATCCTAGAGAAAACAGAGTCTCACTAAAGTAAAAGAATAAAAAAAATAATACCAATTTCTTTAACTTTCCTTCATTTTCTGAAGAAACAAACAGAGGTTTTAGTTTAAACCAACATTAAACAAAAACAGAGGCGAAACATTCTTTCTTCTCCATTAGACCAAGAAAAAACTAGTTTGGTTACCAAGAAAATGAAAAGAAAAACACAAAATAATTCTCTTTGTTTCATATAAAATAAATTATTGACTTACGAAAGGCGATTTGGGGCAAAGGAGAAATTTGAGTTGCTTCATTTTCTGGTGAGGTTTTGGGCTTAGGTGCCAAAGGAAAACGGTTTTTCAAGAGAGGGGAGCTGATTTCCATTCCATGCAATTTGGTGGGGAAATTTTAGTCTGGCAGAAGGGTTGTGATCTTGGAATGTACAACTGGCTCCGTTTAGTGGAGGAATAATACACGTAGCATACTTTTGTGGTATATCCACTATTGAATTCGTCTTTTGCTCCTGGTACGAGGAGTGACGAAGACTAGTAGCGCTCAAGTCAAGTCAACAGACATCGCGTGCGTCAATAAAACAAAACGAAATTAAAGACAACCTTTTTTTCTTTAATACTGTTTGAATAAACGCTAGCAAAGAAAAAATTTTAAAAACAAAAGTAGGAATTGGTGAGAAAAAAATAAAGAACAGATACAAATTATTAGTATCAAGTGAATTGGCAAAGTGAAATCATTATTTATAATTGTCATATAATTAATACGATTTTTAATTTTACGAAAGATTAGAAGTGAATCATTCTATCCTTAAAAGAGTTGATGGATTTTAAGAATGATAATTTTTTTTAATTAAAACGTTAATACGAAGAATTTACTAAGCAACCGTGAGTTTTTAGTTTATTCATTTATGAAGATTTGGTCAACGCTTTTTATGTTGGCAAAAGAAAAAGAAAAAAAGAGAACATGATAGTTGCAAATTTACAAGGCACAAAGAGAAAGGAAATATGGAGAAAAAAGATACATGAAATTTGATACAATAATTTAAAATATGATATAATTATATAATAATATAATATAAAAAATATATGAAGATAATATTATTTAAAATTTTAATAATTATTATATGTAAATTTAATAAAATAAAAAATATGTATTATGATATATAATTTTATTATAAAATATGATATAAATGAATAAATTTTATTATTTTATATAACATAAATATATAAATTATCTGCTCTGCATAAAATTACTATGATGACATGGAATATTTCAAATACACTATGGCCTGTTATTATGAATAAGGTTTAAAAATACTTAATGTGGATTTTGATAACTGATACGTTACTTTTTCATTCATTTTTTTTAAATTAGTGGAAACAGCTTTTCCCTGGGGATATATGAAATAAAGATCTTTTAGCGGACGAGATCTAGAAAAAAAAAGATAAAAGAATTAAAGACACTTTAGTTGGCGATTCCGAGCTAGAAAAATAATCAATAAGGATCGATCCCTCCTCCGCTAGGCCCCATTCTCTGATATTTGCTTGCTGCTATCACATGCAGAAAAGCTGGGAAGAACAATATGGTAAGTCATGAATGATCCCTTGTTTTGTCTTCACTCTTCACCGAAGCCACAACGCATGACGGTAATATACAGTTGAACCATGCGCTCCACCTCACTTGTCCACTCTCGTCGGGAAAGAAACCCACTTTCTCTTTGCAGAAAAGTAAAATGAAAGGATGAAATGGATAAAAAGATACCAACCTCCCTTTACGGTTTATTGCTTGCAACATTAATAAATGAGAAAGTATCAAGGAATGTGCGACTACTTGCAAGAAATCCATGATTTTAAACTTTTTTTTGGGTACATTTTATGCCATTATATTTAGATTGTCTTATAGATTCTTTTGCTTTTAAGGAATAAATAGGACGAGAGGAAGTTATATTACTATTGCATAGTTTTTCAATGGTATTTTCAAGGTTTTTTTTTTATATATAAAAAAGCTCACAATCTGAAAATAAAAAAAGGTGTTGTAGGTTTTTTAATTAGAATTGTTTAGATGCCTTTTTAAGAGTGATTGATTGAATTAATTAAATTAAATTCTAAATATAATGGTATTTTTAAGTTAATGAGAAGAGAATTACTTGTATGTTTCTTTTTTATATATTTTTTTACTTGTATTTTCAAGTTGGTTTTACTTGACTATTAACACCAAATTAAATCAAATATTTTATAAGTAGTACAGATAACAAATATAGAATAAATTAGGAGGGATATAAGTAAAATATATGAAGAAGCAATTTCCTTTTTCTTAATATATTTTCTATGAAACAGAGAAAATGTACAATGGCATGCAACTAATTGAATTGGCCAGTATACCATATGTGATTGGTATGAGTACGGCCTCCCCCTAGACCTGACCCATGGGTACGTAATTTCTTCGACATGGGGCTTAGCTATATGGATTGAGTCCATTGGGAAGGGTAAAAAATGAATATAAATTATATTATATCAGAACATGGATATATATATATATATATATATGACTGTATGAATAAAAATATTTTTTGGAAAATGTAGGTGAATATATATTTTTTGAAATATACGTTATTAATATATTGTTAAATTACTTTTACAAATATAAATAAATTATTTTTAATTGATAATTAATTTAAAAAAAAATTTTACATCCTTTCATATTATAAAAAAAATCAATTTGTATGAAATTGAGAAATGTAGTATTAAAAAATTAATTATAAGTGAAATTTTGCATCAAAATAAATTAAAATATGAAAAAGTAGAACTAATATATTAACATTTTGTTAATGGAATAGCATGTAAACTAATTAGAGAGATTGACTTACCAAACTTTCTAACTGGAATATTTCTCAAACCTAAAAATTAATAAATTATGAATATAAAACATAAAAAAATAAAAACATATATGCAATATTCATTAATTGAAATATATATGTTATTAATATACTTTTAAATTATAATGACAAAATGTAAATAAATGAATTTTTAATTAATAATTGATTTAAAAAATAAAATTTTACATCCTTTTTTATATTATAAAAGCTTTAAATACTCTTCTAGTTTCTTTATTTGATTTTACAGTTTTTTTTAATTGTGCTACATGACACGTGGCTGAAGCTGGTTATCGTCTCAATTCTCATCCATTCCAGAGAAGTTCCGTCCTCTTTCTTCTTTGGGCAGCAGCAAAAGCAGGTCGACTCCAACGGCCATGGCTTTCATGGCCCTCTCTTTCTCTTCAACTCTCTACATCTCTCCACCACGCCCCTCTCTCATTGCTTTGCACCTTCCTCCTCACCATTTTCCAACTCTCTCTCCAAAGCTGAGAATTAGAATCCAATGCGCTACCAAAGACAACAAGGAAGCAACCCCGCCTACTGCAGCATCATCCAGGCAGAGCTTTGATCGCAAGAAAGGAGTGGCACTTTACAAGCCTAAGTCATACGATGTTCTCGTAACTGATGCCGCTAACTCTCTCGCTTTTGCTCTTCAAGATGGCAAAACCCGCCTCGAGATTGATTTCCCGTACGTTTTCTATCTTTCTCTTTTATCTCTTTGTCTTTTTTAGCCTGATATTTGGTTTATTTTGTGGTTTTTTGTCTATGGATTCACAGGCCCTTGCCAAGCAACATTTCTTCTTATAAGGTACCCCTCTTTCAATTTTTACGTTTCTAAAATGTGACACCCCAATCCTATCGGGATGTTGTGAAGATTTGCTATGATGTATAAGTTGAGACTTAAACCAAACTTGTGAGGCCTCTTTTGGGAGACAAAACCGTGAGAACTTCTGGTCAAAATGGACAATAGCTTGGGTTAAAATCGCCACATACAGTGTCTAGTTGAATGGCCCTTCATGAATTTTCTTGCTCACTTTCAAAAGTTTACTGATTCTGCCTTTAGCAGTGTATACGATGTTGTTTGCTTTTATTCCTAATCTGTCCATTTGTTTTAGTAATAGCAATTTCGAAACCAGAATCTATTAGTATTGGCTTTGTTCTTGGTGCAGTATTTTCATGGATCGTATTCTACTGTATGATGATGATTATATTCAAGGAAAATGTTATTTTCTCTGAAAGTAAGAGAAAGAAAAGCAAAACCCTTAGTACATAATTTTCTCTAATGTCTGAATATGTGAAGGGATCTTCAGATGAGTTCATTGATGCCAACATTCAACTTGCCTTGGCTGTTGTCAGGAAACTCCAACAGAAAAGCAAAACTCAAGCTTGCATAGTGAGAAGATACTTTCATTTGCTGAAAAGTTCTTCTTTTAATTCCTAAGATAAGCTTAATTTCTTATTGCTTTTTCAGGTATTTCCTGATAAGCCAGAAAAACGTAGGGCCTCTCAGCTTTTCAAAGCAGCTCTTGACTCGGTAATAAAATTAATTAGTCTAGTTTACCTTCTATTTTTCTGTGCTACTCTGTTGAGGTGGGCTCTTTTCATATCAATGGTTTTGTTCTTTATCCTTCACTGAAGTTTATAGGAGTATCTCATTGGCCCATTTGCATTTTATGCATTTAATTCTTTGGATGGTTTTCAAGGATTAAGCCAAACCACTTTATAAGAATAAACACTGACACTTATAAGCAAAGATATGACCTGCCAGAAACTAAAACCTGTTTATTAATCTGGTTATAGCTTTTATATGCGGGCACTATTTTTTTCACCCTCTTGCCTTCCTTCATACACATATTTGTCTTTGGACTCTAAAGGGATTTTAATTCTTGATTCTTCACTTTCAGATTGATGGTATATCTATAGGTTCCCTTGACGATGTCCCTAGTGATGCTGTTACCACATTCTTCAAATCTATCAAGAATACTCTGGATTTTGATTTCGAAGATGAAAATGAAGGTTTGTTCCAGAACATCCAGCTCTATGTGAGAATTTTCCTCTCCATCCTACTGATCAGTGAACTGGGTTTCTTCATAGCTTCAAATTTTAATATCCTCTTACCCTGTTCCTACCTTCACACAAACAAAAATAAAAATTTTTTTTAATTGACTTTAGCATTCTTCCATCTCTGGTGAATGTAGGTCGTTGGGAATCCAAGGAGCCACCAACTCTTTATATATTTATTAATTGTAGCACACGTGAACTTTCTGTTATAGAGAAGTATGTGGTATGATTCTTATACTTTGTACGGCCTTTCACCCTTTTCATGTGCCTGTTTGTTATCTATTTATACATTGATTCAAGCTTGACCATTAAACTGCTGGCTATTTGAAGTTAGGCTCTTCTGCTTTCATGGGTCTGCAAATCTGAGCAGTTTATATGCATGCGTAAACATATCAGGTCACTGATTATTTCAAACAAGAAATAACTTGATGCTTTCACCATGGGATATTGAGTCAGTACACTTAGTTAAAATTTAGTCTAGGGGCATACATATCAACACTAGATTGTTAGCAGTCTTCATTTGAAATTCTATTTCAAATGAGGGCATTCAAGAATTTTGTTGTGCTTAATATCAAAAGTTAGCTAAAGTTTGGGAATATTTCTGACCAACCTTATGTTATACTTGGTTAAATTAATCACTAGGGTTTTGTCAATCTTATCTAAGACCCTATTGGTAAATTATGAGAACATTTCATTTTGCTGAGTATTGTTAGTTGCTAAAACTTTTTGTTAATATTTCTGACCAACCTTTTTGGCAGCTTTGCTTTCAGACTGCAATATCTAGTTCTAAATGAATTCACCCTCTTCCTCTAACCTCCCCCTGCCTTCTTTTTGTCTTCTCCTTTGTGTGACTGTGATCTGAATTTGCAGGAGAAATATGCCCAGTCAACCCCAACACTTCTATTCAATCTTGAACTTGACACTTTGCGGTATAACTTTTTCTATTCTCCTTTTAATGATGATTCAATGATCAATGAGTTTACTTCTGATTGGGGCTGCTTATCTTTGCAGTGCTGATTTGGGTCTTCTGGGGTTTCCTACCAAAGATTTGCACTACCGATTTCTTTCTCAATTCATCCCAGTGTTCTATATACGAATTAGGGAGTACTCCAAGGTAGTTATTCAATAATCAGCCTATATTGTTTTGCTCCATTGAGTTTCATTTCTCTTATAGTTTTATAATGACCATTTTCTTTTTAAATATTGTAAGACGGTTGCAGTAGCACCTTTTGTCGTGAATTACAATGGAGCACTATTTCGTCAATATCCTGGTGCGCAAATAAACCTTCTCAAAATTTATGCCATTTTAACTGTTCCATTTTTGTTCCATCATTTAGATTGAATACAGAAGAATGATTGGAAAAAGTTATACAAATTACTATATGCAACTTAAATTCTTTTTTTTTTCTTTTGTAAAAAGAAAACGTATGCCACAACATCCTTTTCTCTCTACAATAATAGTTCCCTGAAGTTTCATGTTATTCTATTCATACGTTTCTGAATGCTCATTTCTCAGAAATGTGTTCTGAGGAGTCAGTGAATTGATAAGTGGAAGATACTAGGTTTATTTTTTGATATTCCTTGAGTATGTAATTGACAGGAAATAATCATTTTTTTCACAAACTTACATTGTGTAAGCAATTAGGACTACCTCATTGTTTTGGGGGAACTTAAAAGTCTTTATCCTGCTTGCATACCTTCATCTCTCAAAATCAATAATTTCTTCTCTTTAAGTACTGCCCACTACTTTTGGTGGATCTTAGATATTTTCTGCATTTTGCACTTACTAACAAAATTCTCTTCTCCATCAAGTTAATTTGGTATAATAATCTTGACAGTATTGGAAACCTGAATGCAGATAGGACTGTAACTAGAATAGGTATATTACAAATGAGAAAAAAATATGGTAACATAAAACACGACATGAAAATATGCGAGAAAAGATATGAATGTGACAGTTTAAAATTTTAGCATAAACTATATAGGGGTTTAACAAAATTAAAAAAAAAAAAGAGGTATTTCTTGTTTTCATTATCGACACAAATTGTGACATGTAAGTTTTGTTTAAAATCAATTGCTCTTATTTTACGGCAGATGAATATGCTAATTGTCAGGTCTAAGAAAGATTATGAGACATCTGATAGAATAGATGTGAATTGTTTTGGATCAGCTGCACAGGAGTTAAACCTTTTTCCATCCATTAAGGAGTAAGTATTTTTTGCTACTACCTAAAGGAGTAAAATATAAAAAGGAAAAGAATAGAAGAGAAGACTTGCAAATTCTCATGTTAAATACTGAGAATTATCTAATATTTAGTATGATTTATTTGATATGTAATAGAAAAATGACAAATTAATGGGATCACTATTCATTAAACAACCAAGTCTTCTTTGGACCAAGTTACCCTAATTGTACAGAGTTATTCCATCCTTACAAGCAACTTTAGTAGCGGGCATTTTTCTTTTCCATGTTGTTCGGGTGTTTCTCCTTCAAGTCCCTTGTTTTTGTCAATGCCAACATACAATATTATGCCTGAAAAAGGAAGTTTATATGTTGGAATCAGATTTGAGATGTGACAAAATGTATTTGTGTACCTCCTCATTTTACTTAGAATTTTTGCAGGACCTTGGCAGGTGATGCTTAAGCAAGCAGATGGTTCTTATGCTTGTGTTGCTGAGAGTGCAACACGCTTCACACTGGGAGAGGTATGTATCTGCTATTACATTTCAGCTCCAGGTTGTTTTCTTTCAGTTACGATTCTATTGTTTTGGACTTATTATTTGGTTTTCTCTAGACCAAGGAAGAACTGTTGAGGGTCCTTGGATTGCAAGAGGAAGAAGGTAGCCAACTAGAGTTCCTTCGAAGAGGCTACAAGGTTTTCATCTTTTCTAATATCTCATTTTTTATATTTACCATGTATCATTTGAGATTTTTATATTCAATGCTCATAGCAACATCCTGTATTCTATACCTTACTGAAGAATGTTCCAATTTTCATCTTCCTTTCGTTTTTGCCCCTTCAAGCTTTAATGTTCTATAGAACTTCAGCTTGGTGTTATCAGAAATTAGGAGTACATTTTGCATGGGATTGTTCTAAAGTACACACTTTAGTGACTTTGTGAGGATAGAAGGAACCTAGGGAAACAAGTTGGAAATTAGGTTGCCTCTACTTGTATATTATGTAGTAGGGATACATATCCTGAAAATCTAGTCAACCAACCTAACCAAGTCATTTATTATTGCAGACTTCCACTTGGTGGGAAGAGGATGTTGAATTGGAAGTATCATCCGCATGGCGTAGTTAGTAGCCAAATGACATTTAACCACAATGACACATCTCGTATGTAGATGGTGAAGTTTGAGGATGCAAGGAAATCTTTTTTCCTTATAGACATTCTTTTAAACTTTTTTCTCATATATTTCCCTGTACTTTAGGCCTTATTATTTTTTTTACAAATCATAATAAGTAAAAAGAAATTATTTTGCTTTCTTATAGTCTTCTTGGTTCTGACTTGTGAGTAGTGGAGAAGACATTAATGGGGAAGAGAACTAAAATTCAAGTTTGTTCGTATGATTTGTTGATAAAACATCAGTCTCACGCAAGGTTAAACTTGAATTCCTGTTTTTATTTTTATTTTTATTTTTGCAATGAATAACATTTTATGCCACCTTAAATTTGACTTCCTAGTCTAGCTTTTGCAATGTGGGCTAGTACTATTTGAAGCTTTAAAGATTATAAAATAAAAAAAAAAAAAAAAAACCCATACAAATGCAGTACTATGGTCATAGCATAAAGTAGGTGCAAGAAACTGATTTTGTCATGTGTCTGTTGTGTCTATACAACTGTAATGAAGAAAATAAATGAGTTTTAAGTACATGAAAAAAGGTTATTGACAACTCGACAGTGATGAATTTAAGAAGCTTGAGGGGCAATGGCCGCAGCTGCCGAGATATTATTTTGTACCCGAGTATGTGAGATTCATGTTTTAGTCTCTTTCGAACTTTGTCTATATCCCTCCCTTCGAATCAATCCAAATGCATTTATTTTGATTAAATCTAACAAATTTATAAAAAAAAATTATTATTTTTTCAATCTCTTAGAAAATTCGCGACTAAGCACCAAAAAGACAATGAATTTGTAAGAAATTATTTCTTTTCAATCTCTTAGCAAATTCGAGACTTAAAGCAACAAAAAGACAAATACTCTCTTATCAATACGTTGATTTGACCATAAACATCAAGGAAAGCATCTGAAACTGCATTTATTAGCATGCCATAATCCTTCACTACACCGTGACTGCCACCCAGGTAACACATACAGACATTAATAAAATAAAAACTAACAAAGTTTAGTATTAACAAGGCTTAAAACCAGAAAGTCATAAGCTTCCATTACAAACGCCTATATATCTACATAGCACTGAAAAACTCGGTACAAATATTGGGTTGAAAAAGCAACTAGCATATTAATTACTAGAATTGGAGATCCAAAACATTAAAGAGGTTTCAGAGGGTTCAGCATCGCCTTAGCTCTGACTATTTAGTCAATAACCGGCAATCCTGCCAATCCACCTAGCCTCGGTCGCTTCATCTGGTTACGGTTCCTCTGATACTCTTCAAGGTTACTTTCTACAATAAGAGCTCTATCCACTAGGTCCAGATAATTCTCAAGTTGGAGAATTGTGAGTTTGTTCCTAATACTGGATTTCAAGCCCCTCAAGAAATGCCTGGCCAAAAAGCCCTTATCAGCTGCCACAGAAGGGGCAAAGCGAGATAATCCAATAAATTTAGTGTTATACTCAGTCACGGTCATGTTGCCTTGCTCTATCTCCAAAAATTCAACCTCCTTTTGCTCCCTGAAAACTCTGGGGAAGTAGTGATTCAAGAAGGCATCTCGAAACACATACCAAGTCACAGGTTTCTTCAAATCTGTTTCAATGAATGTCCACCAGTTCTAAGCATAATCCTTCAGCATAAAAGTGGCATACCTCACTTTCTGCTCATCAGTACAATTAAGGAGACTCAAAAGATCATCCATTTTTGTTATCCATGCCTCAGCCTCCAATGGCTCAAAGCTGCCCTTAAAAGGAGGTGGATCCATCTTCATGAACTGGAAAATGGTACAGCCCCGATTTTCAGCTTGCCGCTTGTGCCAAGCCTCAACCATGCTTGCTAAGGCCTTCTCAAAGGACTCTGCTGTGGTCGAAGTAACCTCAGGAGTGGTGTCAGACGTATTTCCCGGCATAGCCTTCCGGTTTGACATTTTCTGACTTACGGTAAAAAAAAATTAACAATAAATCTTCATAAAACTTGATATAACAATAGATTCTCTAGTAAATTCCCATTCTAAGCAATTCATGACTTCATTTAATAAGTAATATTACCAGCTCTTTTTCATACAACATTACCCCCAAATTCCATAACCAAAACGGAAACAATGTCTAATGCAAACAGCAGACAAAACCATTTCCAGTAGCATGAACAGAAACCCATCCATGAAATTATATACTAATTAAAAACTACAAAATTGACATAAATCAAGGAAGTCACAATCCACAATACCAGTCGATCAACAACTCAACCCTCAGTATTTCAAGTTCAAAACAATAAACAACATGCCACTTATCCAGATTAAGCCCTAAAAAGGTGTTTAACTCGCAACACAAACAACATAGCTTCCAAAATATACACAAATTAATTAAAACCTCAATGAATTGAATTTAAGAAAAAAAAAAAAAGGAAAACCACCATGGAAACACCATATAACCTCGCATTGACATGATTAGAAACGTCATTTATGCCAGAAAAAAAAATGAAAAAGAAAAGAAACGTCATAATCGAAATAGCTATAAAATCAAAGGATTTCATGCAAAACATCATAAACCCTTTTAAATCAGACCCTAACTAGAAAGAGCTAAAGGTGTAAAATATCTAAAACCCTTCCTCATAAAGTTCAAAGTTCAAACTGATCTTTTTACCCAACATACCCATATAAAACTAACATCTAAAAGAAGTTGGGTTGTAAAAGTTTATAACTGTCTCCTCCAAAAACTGCAAATTTTCCTACTCAAACCCTTGACCCTCTCTTTCACTCAGTTGGCAGTTGACTGAGTCAGGGTTGTTCAGAGTCCTATTATTAGCCGATGGGCTTCGCATTACTTGGTTAAAATTAAAAAATAATAAACAAATAAACCAAATAGATTAATTTGGTTTAGGAGTTTAGATGGTTTAATTTGAAAACTTAAAAAAAAAAATGTTTGGTTTCAAAATGAAATTGAATTAAAATTTTGATTTGGTTTTCATTATTTTGAAACCAATCCAAATTAAAATTCAATGATATTTATATTTACATAAATTTTTTATAATTAATATTTTATTTAAAATATATAAAACTCTCTTTAATTTATTAATTCAGGTTTCATTTGAAAAAGAAAATCATATATTTAAAGTTTTTAATTCTAATTTAAATATATAACTACTTTCTTTATTTATAATTGGTTTTTTACCATCACAACCCATTAGTAAGAATTAATTAAATGAATGAGATTCATTATTTACAATACACTCTCTAATTAAAGTTTAGGGAATGAACTTTGTTTTTGTTTTCATATTTTAATTTACATTGTTAGAACGTCAAATTAAATTATTTTTATTTAGTTTGCGTTGATTTTTATTATAATTTGGATTATTTTAAAAACTTTAAAAATTAAAATATTTTGATTAGATGTTATTTTTTTTAATTAATCCAAATCAGTTGGTAATTACCCTTCTTCGCAGACGAGTGGGCAAACCCCTCGTAGAAAATAGGCCACATGGCATATATGTTTGATATTATTTTCACTAGAGGAAGACTTGTATTTGTTTTTTTAATAATCATTTTTAATTAAATTTTATTAAAAAAGAATCATTAAAGCCAATACATAAAAGAGTTTGCTATTCATAATTTCATGAGAGCATATCATTAAATCATTATAAAAAAAATCATTAAATACACGTAAGTACATATATATTGTAAGTTTGAGTGGCAAACATTGAATATAAAAGATACATGCCTGATTTTAGTTAAGTAGTCTTTAGAATGTTTAAATCAAGATAGATTTTTATTGTTGATGATGAGATAACGTACAAAACACCTGTAATTTATAAAACATCTATAATATTATTTAAGTGAGTTTTGTAAGGTATGTTCAAAATCAATAGTAAAATATTAAAATTTTTATGTTAAATAGCCAGAGAAAAAAAAAATCATTTACGCAAGATAGTCAGAGAAAATAAAGATTGGAATTTTCAAGATATATTGATTTATTCTATGTGTCATATTGTCATAAGGAATAATTTTTAAAATATTAAAACTGATGATAAGCATATCATACATAAAAAACGTTAAGTTGATATGTCCATAGATATATCCATTATTTTTTTAAGTAATCCTTTTTTAATTTGTTTAATTTTCCAACAATAAAAAGCAACCTCACATTTATTTTAAAAGTATTGTAAATAATAGTAGCAATAATTAATCAAAGATATTTAATTTAATCTACTTTTTTTATTTAATTATATATTTTGGAAATATCTAGTTGTTGTTTATCTTAATATACACTAATATTTATTTTTTAAAATATTTATTTTTTGTAAATATTTTTGGAAAAATAAATATGTAAGAAAATTTAGTTTTTGTATATCTTAATTTATACTATTATTAATATAATCATATATTTATTAATTATAAAAATGAAATAAATTAAAAGTATTATTCATAAAATATATTATAAAACATGTTTGCAAGTATAAAAGATAATTAGATATTCATTTCATTAATTTTTAAAATTTATTTATTTATTTCATAACTTAACATACATTGAATTAATTTTTATTAGTCATTACTTTTTTAAAAAAATTATTTAATTAATAATTTTATTTTTAAAAATATTTATATTTATTTTTAAAACAATTCCATAATTTCAATTCATGAAAAATAAACACTAAATAGATAAAATAAATATATATATATAAATGGGTTAAGTTTCATAATTACAATTGGGTTTAGTATAGTTTAATTAATGCGAAACAATTAAGTTAGGCCTGAATGCATTGAGTGAGCCTCTTTTTTTTTTTCTTTTATTGTTTTTGGTTTTTTTTTTTTTCAATTTATTTTCTTCTTCTTCGTAAATATCTCATTTCTTGGTTTTATTTTCATTTTTCTTCCCCCTACCTCTGCTCTGACTCTGTCTCTCTAAATTTTCCAAACCCAAATTTCGACGTCAGACCATCATGTCTTCTGTCATCTCTCGCCGATTATCAGTATCAGAAAACCTTCAAAATTCACCTGAATCTTTCTTTTAACATCCTTTTTGTTTCTA